CTGCCACGGATGTTACTGTAGCAGTGGGTGAACGGAAGATCAGCACGATCAACCATACAATATTAGGTAGAAATTGGATTACCAACCAACAATATATATTGGTTCGGGCACCTGCCTCTATAATTGCCCCTTTGTGTCGCGGCTGACGTGTACCGTTCTGGTTGACGTTGTCGGTGACGTTGTAAACCCCAATTTTTTTTTTCTTACGTAAATTTTGACGTTGTAAACGCCGATTTTTTTGTTCTTACGTAAATTTTGACGTTGTAAACGCCGATTTTTTTTCTCTTACGTAAATTTTGACGTTGTAAACGCCGTAAATTTTGACGTTGTAAACACCGATTTTTTTTGTCTTACGTAAATTTTGACGTTGTAAACCCCGATTTTTTTTGTCTTACGTAAATTTTGACGTTGTAAACGCCGATTTTTTTCTCTTACGTAAATTTTGACGTTGTAAACGCCGATTTTTTTGTCTTACGCAAATTTTGACGTTGTAAACGCATTTTTTCCTAACGTGCATTTTGACGCTGTATAAACGCCAAATTCTTTTTTCTTACATAAATTTGGATCTTGTAAACGCCACTTTTAGTCTTGTTCATGTCATGATTGATGTTATCAACCCCGAACTTTTCTTGCTTCAAGTCATGACTGACATTGTGAGTTGTATTTTTTTGTTTCCTGTGATTTATGTATGCGTCATGAGTCATGATTCATGATTTACTATGCGCGCCCATTTTTGTTCATGTCGTTATTGCAATGATGTTTTTGATGTTGAGATGGGTCAATTCTTTTTGTATTGTCACAATCCTGATTCCTGATTATATACAGTTTTTGGTTTTTGTTTGTTTCTTGAAAATCAGCTGGCATTGAAGCTGGTGGGTGTGTTTAACTTGTCTTTTTGTCCCTCCATTGGCCCTTCATTTGTTGGTTATGCCGTCGTCGTCGTCGTCGTCGTCGTCGTCGTCGTTGTTGTTGTTGTTGTTGCTCTTCTTCTTTTTCTTCGCTTTCCTGTTCTTGTTCTCGTTGCTCCGTTCTTGGTGATAACCGTGCTTGTGGGTCACTGTCACGCATTGCTACATGGTTGCGTTGTCACATCGTCACTTCCTGCTTGTAAGTGTTGCATAATGCATAATGCTGAATAAATGATGAACTAATTCGTTTCCTTAAACCTGGTAGATCCTGGTAGGCTGTGGCAAGTAAAACTGGTAGGTAACGGCAGGTAACAAGACAAGACTCACCTGCGAGAAAGGCAGGTCCGATCAGGATGCACGCACGCACGCACGTCCACGCACGCACGCACGTCCACGCACGCACGCACGCACGCAACGCGACTCTACGCGCCCCGAAACCAAGCAAAATTCGATCTCACTGAAGTACTGTGTGACTAGTGCTGTAAACTAATGGGCAAATGTGTGATGACACACGGGCAAATTATAGAGGCAAGAGCTTTATATAAACACAGTCCCGAACTATCCCGAACTATCCCGAACTATCCCGAACTATTCCGAACTATATGAAATGCATCCGAACGGTTCAGAACGGTTCAGGTGTCACACCGTTTTCCCCATCCTTGCCCCCAGGATGGATCTCAGAGGGCCACTGACCGCTCACGTGACAAGATTGCCTGCCTTAGACGGGTTTGGGTGTGACATATACTTGTCAGAAGATTGTGAAATTTAGCCTAAGTTTCTTCCAGCCCCGTTCTTTGGGAAAACATTCTGCCACGACTTGTGTCACAGCCTAAGTTACTTTCAGACATGTTTTTCTTCACCGAAGTTTTACTTGAAGTACCTTGCCCTATGGCAATTTACAACTCACAACTTGCAACTGACATCACTTGTCTTACAACTTTTCTTCCTCTTATAATTTGTAACTAACTTAAAACCTCATAGCTTAAAACCTTTACTTGCTTACAAGTCATGCATCTTCAACTTGTTAACTTAAATGATAATATGTTGTAAAAATTGCCCACTTTTAAGCCTAGAATCTAAGGCAAAAACCTGATACGCTTGAACCGTTCTGAACCGTTCGGATGTATCGGAGGCCTGAGTTCGGATTAGTTCGGAATAGTTCGGAATGGTTCGGGATAGTTCGGAGACGCCTGAACCGTTCTGAACCGTTCGGATGTATCAGAAACTGATACGCCTGAACCGTTCTGAACCGTTCGGATGTACCGGAAATTTACCATGTTTTTAAAAGTATTTTTCTATATTTTTTGAACTTAGCTTGAACTTAATGTTTAAACATGTAATTTTATCATCATTGACATGGATAACTTACTGATAACTTAATAACCTTTCAACTGGTGGGCTGACAAAAACAGATACTTTAACTTAACTTATCACTTATCAGAATAATGAATCAAAACTTCATAATCATAATGAATCAAAAATGCCAAATTTACAGCATCAAAATTTACGTCGGGAAAAAAACCACCAAATTTACAACAAAATTTACGTGAGGAAAAAAAACACCAAATTTACAACATCAAAATTTACGTGAGAAATCGTGAGAAAAAATATGCCAAATTTACAATATCAATATTTACATGAGAAAAAACGCCAAATTTACAACATCAAAATTTGCGTGAGGAAAACAAAAACGCCAAATTTACAACATCAAAATTTGCGTGCGAAAAAAAACCGCCAAATTTACAACATCAAAATTTACGTGAGAAAAAAAACGCCAAATTTACAACATGAAAATTTACGTGAGAAAAAAAAACGCCAAATTTACAACATGAAAATTTACGTGAGGAAAAAAAACGCCAAATTTACAACATCAAAATTTACGTGAGAAAAAAAAAACCAAATTAAAAACATCAAAATTTACGTGAGAAAAAAAAACGCCACATTTACAACATCAAAATTTACATGAGAAAAAAAAACGCCAAATTTACAACATCAAAATTTACGTGGAAAAAAAAAACGAGAAATTCACAACATCACTTACAACATCGAGGACAACATTGGACGTGTGCCATAACACAGATAGAGGCAGGTGCCCGAACCAAAATATATAGTATATAGTATGGTACCTGCACCCATTTAGATACTGTGGTATCATTTGGATGACCAGCCCTTTTCCATGGACGAACCAACGATCAATCTGATGAGCCACCAGCTGCTCCCATTGCATGATGAAGCTCAGGCATAGATCCCGAGACGCAAAAGTCACGATTGCAAAAAATCAGTGCCAAGTGCCAATACCCCTGGCAAAGCCCTCCTGACCCTTGGCCCATGAAACATGGTGGACCTAAAATCTTGAACGAGATATCGTTCCAACCATGGGAAGCCTGGTATTAGCTAGATTAGAGAAGCAACTGAGCCATCCCACCATTTGTTTGAGCTATAAATCTTTGCCGAGAGTATAGCACTCCAAAAGAAGCCCCGTTTTCAAGCCAAGTTCTGAGGTTGTTGCAGTCAGCTATGTGATCCTCTTGGTGGTCAGACAGTTGACAGCACGAGACAAGGCGCAAAGCTCTCTACCATCGTTGATGTGTGGACGACACTTCTCTGCTCCCTAGCGGGAAGGGTGCACCAACAGCCAGCCAACAGCTGCGGAGGCAAAAGAAAGGAAGGCAGAAGAGAAGAAGAAAGAGAAGGCGACTGGACATCCACAAGTCATGAATTTCTATGAATTTTTCATAGCTTCACTTAATCAATCTTAATCAGAATACAGATGCTTGGAAGGTCAACAAAATTGGAAGTGCGGATGGATGCGCGGTTTGTGCTTCTTAGAAGCTACCGACAACGCGCGCATCAGGAAGCCAAGAAGAGGTGAAAGGGAGCTGAGGAGGACAGCAAGGCTCAAGTTGTGTGTAAGGAAATACAGAACACAAACATATCAGGGTAGATCCCCTCGGAGTATGCAAATCAACCCCTGAAATATTTTGTAGCGAGAAGACTCCTGGATGCAAGGCACGATCATTGCCAAACGATGTCACTTTCAGCCGCTGTGCCTTAGGAGTTACCAAAGACCTTGAAGGTTTCCATGCCAGCAATGAAAAACATGATCCGACCTGGTGAACGTGAACACACAGTTGCAGATGATGACGATGATGGCAAGTCAAAGGTTGAAGATTTTGTTTCTGACTTTCTGATATCCCCCGTCAGACTCACACACCTTATGAATTGCAATGCGTGGGTCCGGAATATTACTTTCCATGCCATATCATTGCCTTTGCTGCTGCCTACTGTACTTGTGCAAACGATGTCAAGCCGGTTCATGGGGTGGCTGGCAAATGTGGGTATTCGATATTCGTCCTTGTCAAGCTTCAGCTACCCGCAGAAATTTTGGTCAAGAAATTTGGCAGCGCAAAGAGTTTCAAACCTGGAGCTTTACTTGAAGCTAGCCAGCTCCCGCTATGATATGCACAACGTATAGATGGAGCCAAGCCAACCTACTCGTAGCTTGGTCAAAATGTGACACGACCACTACTTTCACCATCCCAGATTTTTACAAAGCCATCAACTGCCAAGCTCATGTCCATCAAACCAAACACCCAAGCGGCCATCGGAAAGTTGTGACAGCAGCCAAAATCAGCCAAAAACCCATCAAAACTCAGATTTTTGGCTCTGCAAATCCTAGATTCTTGCGATTTCTTGCGGATGTGGCCATGGATGTTACAACTCCACGTGGCGCATCTTTGGTGCTGGGCGCAGTGCTGGTGCCCTGGGGTGCAAATCGACATAATCGACCACTTGTACGTAGCATTTAAGGCAGTCAGAATGAAGTTCAGACTTCTTCAGTGATTGTTCTCTTCCTTTCGTTTGAAGGCATGTGTTGAAATTGAATTTGGACCTGAAACTTGGGATAAATGCAGCCTTAGGGCTCTGTCTTCGGAACGTAATAGACGGTGATTCAACATGCTTGCCGGGCTGGCTTGAATCCTTCCTCGGTCCATCCACATCCAAAAATAGATTCTTTTGGTTGTCTCAGAAGCTGCTTGCTTCGTGCGCACAGTTGCGGAGCTTCAGGCAACCCTCCTTGTCACGCTTGTCATGTGTCTTGCAGACATCACAAAGTGCCAGGTCTTTCTATTGACCTGGGTGGCACTGCACCACTTCACGCAGAGGGAGGTGGGATGCCGGAATAGTGATGCAATGTGTAACTTTCCATGATTTGTTGCGCAAGCGAGTCTGTATCTCAGGTCTGAACATGTTGCAACAGAGAGTGGCTTAGGCTTTATTTGTCAACTGGTATAATTTGTCCATCATTTTGATATGAAAGCATGATGCTACATGTATATACTGTACTCTTTCCCGCATTCCTGAGATCCCAGCATTGCCAACATCTTTCTAGCGGAATCCATGAGACTACATCACCCCAAAACTGGAAGCTCAAACTTGTTATGTTTCAAATTCAACGCCTGTTGCACGACAGATGTTGGATGATTACGACCATATTTTGGCAGCAAACTGTGCCATCGGTACAACAAATTGAGCCATGCTTTGCAGGTGGGATGGTTCGCCTTCCTTGGATCCCTCACCGGCTTCTCGCTGTCCTTTCTCATCATTCTGCTGGTGCCCCAAATTTTTTTGGGCCAAGGGTGGCCAAAGGGGCCGATGTCGTTCATTGGGCTTTATGTAAGATCTCCAAGGAGATCTTGAGGACTGGATAAGGCATGTCTTCAAGAGATTCCAGAGGGATTCCAGAGGGTACCAGAACCGATGAAACCGTCTCCGCAATGACAGGTGCCATATGATATCTCCCAGACGCTTTCAGGCGGTGACAAGGCACGGTTGACAGCCTCGGCAGCTACAAAGGTACTCTCACGTGTTTTCTGACACAAGACACATGATGCCTCAGGGTTCAACTCAATTCTTGGGGGCAACCCCAGAAAGAAGCATTTCATGAGTTTGTCTTGAACTTTGGGATACCCTCAAAATAGCCCAGAATGTTGCCGTGTTGCCAGTGACAAAAAATATGGGATTTTGATGGATTTTGAGGTTCCAAATTTTGAGACATGGCCAGGTGTTGATGCCATTCAGTTGGGACATGATGTATTGGGTCCGGGCCCAAGGGTCTCCAGTTGCACTGCCACCATAGCAGCCATCAACAGCCTTGACCTGTCTTGAATGATCTATGAGGTATCCATGATACTATGATATACTGATATACTATGAAAATACTATGGTATTCGGTATTAGTATCATGGGTGAATTGGTTGGAGATTTCGAGACGGTTTAAGTACACGTGGATTTTTTGTGGATTACGCTTCTGCTGAGGCAAGTTTCCTGCTTTGTTGGGTGTAGCGACCTCAACACTGGAGTTTTGATGTTTGCCATACTTGCAGTCACTCTCGCATCAATGTATGGTATATATGCATATCATAGGATATCACAGGTCCTAAAAGATGGTTCTTTTTACCAGATCAGGCACGCACTGGATTATCCGGATGTCACAAACTATTGACCTGTTTCTGATGCATTTGTTCCACATGTGCAAGGACCTACCCACTACTGAGCGAGTATGAGGTGCATTGACAGCCTGCTGTGTGGCATTTTCAAGCAATGTTTTTTTGACTGATACATTTCACGACACAAACCAGTGCAAATTCCTCTGCCCAAGGTTGTCGGTTGGGTAGCTAGTTCGCTGGAAGGTTGTTGCCGCTTGAGAAAATTTAACGCAAACCATCCCAAGAAACGCTGTCTTAACTTCTAGCCCTTAATTTCAAGTTCAAGAACCATCCCAAGAAACGCTGTCTTAACTTCTAGCCCTTAATTTCAAGTTCAAGATGTTCAAGGTTTGTTTCAAGGTTTGTTTACAAACTTTTTGGCCCCTGGCATCCCCTCTTGCGTCGTGTCTGTGTCTTTCTGACTTCGGGGCGTCCGTTCAAGCCGCCCAGGCTGCCTCCGGCTTCACGGTGGCAGGGCGCTTGATGTCCCTTCGGAGCACGTGGCCGGAAAGCTTAGGCTGTCAGGGATGTGGTGGATTCACCACGGCAGTGGATTCACCGAAAAAACAGTGACCAATAAAGGCACTTTAAAAGGTATATTACTTAATATAGATACTGTCCTGCTTTTATGATAGTTGAAAAGGTGGTACTGTATATTTGCATCTTTGGACACCACGGTTACTCCACCAACATTCACTACTGGTCTGAATTGGGCACCCTTAGAACATCTTAGAACGCTCGCTAGCGGTAGTGAATTGGGTCCCTTAAAACACGCGCTACCGCTACCAATAGTGAATTGAGAATCCTTAGAACGCTCGCTACCGGTAGTGAATGGAAACCCTTAGAACGCTCGCTACCGGTCGTGAATTGGGAACTCTTAGAACGCTCGCTACCGATAGTGACTTGGGAACCCTTAGAACGCTCGCTACCGGTAGTGAATTGGGAACCCTTAGAACGCTCGCTAGCGGTAGTGAATTGGGAACTCTTAGAACGCTCGCTAGCGGTAGTGAATTGGGAACCCTTAGAACGCTCGCTACCGGTAGTGAATTGGAAACCCTTAATTGGAAACCCTTAGAACGCTCGCTACAGGTAGTGAATTGGGAACCCTTTTAGAACGCTCGCTACCGGTAGTGAATTGGGAATTTTGTCAATGGGGAGCCCTTAGAACGCTCGCTACCGGTAGTGAATTGGGAATTCTGTCAATGGGGAGCCCTTAGAACGCTCACTACTGGTAGTGAATTGGGAATTCTGTCAATGTGGAGCCCTTAGAACGCTCACTACCGGTAGTGATTTGGGGATTCAAAATGTATAAAAAAATGGTGCTAATAAGATAAATAGTGCTCTAACAGGGAGTGACGGTCGCTCCCTGTTAGAACGCTCGCTACCGGTAGTGAGTGTTCTAAGGGAGGGTTGGGAAACATCGGCCCAGGGATGATCTTGTGTTTTCGCCGGGATCTTAGTGAGAAGAATGCAAGATTGATGGTGCCCCAGCGACGGAAAAACTCCACTAGAACGCTCGCTACCGGTAGTGAGTGTTCTAACAGGGAGTGACGGTCGCTCCCTGTTAGAACGCTCGCTACCGGTAGTGAGTGTTCTAAGGGTGCCACCGGAATCATCGACCCAAGGATCATCTTGTGTTTTCGCTGGGGTTGTACTGAGAAGAACGCAAGATTTAGGGTGGTCCAGCGACTCCAAAACTCCACAAGTGCAGTCGCTACCGGTAGTGAGTGTTCTAACAGGGAGTGACGGCCGCTCCCTGTTAGAACGCTCGATTTAGGGTGGTCCAGCGACGCCAAAACTCCACAAGCGCAGTCGCTACTGGTAGCTTCATCTAGTGTGTGTGTTTTTTCTCACTGGCTGGGTCTCCACAAAAAGCGTTGACAAGGGAGTTCAAAAGACCTTCCAAAGCATTTCAATTTTCAACCATCCCATTCATTTAAACTTTGGGCTCCATTCATCTGGGGCAGTGTCCCACTATCATGCAACGAAAGGTAGTGTAATTTGTCTGCAGCTACTGGGGCTTTGTTTGTCTTCCTTTTTTGACAATCTTCAACTTGTGCTAATTCCATTGGGTGTTAGTTGGGCTTACCTCCCGTCTCCAGCAGTATCAACTATTTCACTAGTTTCCTGCAGAATGCTAGAGAGTGTCCTAGGGGTACCCCATTCACCTGTAGTCCTGTAGTGATCGTTTCAAGAATGCCTCCATTCGTACCAGTAGCGAATACTGGTGGGTGACCATTCTGTCCAACGATGCCTAAACATTCAGTACCACCTTTTCAACTATTATAAAAACAGGTCAGGATATATATATATATATATGATTATATAGTTACTGGGGCTTATAAACCAATTAACTATAGTTATAAGTACTAGTACCAATAAGTACCATAAACCATATAATAATATTATAGTTATTGTGGTGTTATGCTATATTATGATATTATAAATCTATAGCATTTTGGGGTGCTAATGACATCAAATGGCCCTGTAGCCGCTTGAAGGGCAGTTTGTGATCCTTTGATTTCCACAATGACCTACTTAGAATCCAGAAATCACAGATCGCGGTCATAGAGCCACACATGTTTTGAATGGGTTAAAGTCACATTCACAATATCACGCTAGAGCACTTACACTCCCACCGTGCATCCAGAGGATGTTACCACAAGTCAGGACTTCTCTAATTCCGACGAATACGAGTTTTGATCATTTTTTAACTCACTATATAATATATATATATAATATACAATATATATAATATATACAATATAAATAAATATATATATATATATATCATATCCCATCATATCCCACTTATCAATTCAACCCATTGGTTTGTAGCCTAGGTGTGGTCTCTATGTGGCCGGTACCGTCTTGCTGCTCTTGTGCCTGGTCGTAGGTGGAATCTGGGTTGGCTCCGTGAGTGGGGTTTACACCGATATCAAATATTATATATGCCATATACATGGATGATATATATGATATATAGGTATGGTATAGATGGTATAAATGGTATATAATTATATTATATACCATATATACAATATATACATATGGATAATATATACCATATATGTTTATATACCCAATATACGCATGTGGTTTCATATGGTGCTACTGATGTGTTTGGATCAGAGTGACAAGAATTTCCAGGGTTTGGTGATTGGTGTGCATCAAAAGGAACTGTTTGGACGGCTATGCCGAAACATGTGCGTTGAGATTTGTTGTTTGATTTTGTTGGGGTAAAGTGTCATCATTTACCAGCAGAGAAACTGAGCCTTACAGCAGCAAAAACCCTGGCCAGGGTCCACGGTTGCTGATGCACAGTGCTTTGACATGGATGTTTCCTTTTGCTTGATGTCCAAGAGTGTTCTTTTTTTATCTTTTTTTGGCGAAGCAACTGATGTTTTGGAAGTCGTGGCTGCAACACGTTGCAGGGTTTTTGACTAATCGATGCGTTCAAATTCCCAATTCCTCGGCAGGTGGCTTCTCAGTCTTGGCGCCGTGGTGTCTGGCCATGGCGAATGCATCTCGGAATTTGCACACGTGAGTTCCAAAACTCACCAAAAAGACTGCTGCATACTGTTGAATGTGTATATGAATGTGTAAGGTCTTGGAAAATCTCTCTGCAGAAGGCATTTTGAATTGGTGGTGTATAGCCACGAGAAGCCAACTGATTCATCTTGACAAGGGATGAGAACCTCAAAGATCTGTTGCAATATCGTCAAGATGAATGGCTTACAGAAGCATTCCAAAACTTAAGTGCAGGAATATGATATAACATTACGTAACTAGTATATACATACCATTACCTATACCATAACTTCGTACAGGAACATCCTAGGCATGATGCCATGGTGTCGGCTGAGGCCTGGGCCTTGTTGGTGTCCTCATTGCTGATGGCCTATGGCCTGGTGGCCGTCCGGAGACTCAAACGTGGCTGGGAAGTCCCTAAAATCATCTACGAAATCATCTATAACATCTATAAATGGTGATAAATACTATAAATGGTGCAATCATGATCATCTATAACGTTTGTAAATGGTGGTAAAATCTATAAATGGTGTATCATGGTGCAATAATCATAATCTATAAATGGTGATAGGCTATAAATGGTGCAACAATGATCATCTATATAAAATGATACAGATGGTGGATACTGATGCTGATGGATTTTCCATGATTTTCCAGCACGTCATGTTTGATTACCGGAGGCTACTTGGTTTTTGTGGAGGGCAAATCACGTTCCATGTGCAAACCCAAAGTTGAGTCTAACATATTCTAATGAGTTCCAGAATGTTTCAGAAAATTCGAAACCATACTGTGCATATGATTTGAGAACATGAATTGGAAGCACTTTCCAAAGGCAAAAATGGAAGTCTTGTAGCATTGAGGTGCCGCGCCAGTTTTGGCGGCAAGCCTCTCCGAGTTTCGAGCTGAAACGGCTCTACTGCAGTGCTGCCCGGGAACTCGTGGGTTGATAGCTGTCATAGCTGTCATAGCTGTCATAGCTGTCATAGCTGTCATAGCTGTCATAGCTCATTCCCAATATTCTCAATGGCTTGAATTGGAAAGTATGGAACTGTGACATACTGTGACAGAAATACAAGCAGTCCAAGAAATTGGCATATTGCTCAGAGCCAATTTGTGTACTCTATTGATCTCTATTGATCTCTATTGATCTCTATTGTACATCCATGTTCTTTACACCAGCATCCATTTGCAAGGTCGCCTTGGATGAAGCTCGCCTGGGGACGCAGTATGAACTGCAGGCCATGGGAGATGCAAAAACCGATCACTTTTCGGAGCTCTGCTGGAGCTGAAAAGCCATGCTGTTTGTCGCAGGATACGATCGCAGAGGCTCGCCTTGAGACTGCGTTGGGGACCCAGCATGACCCAGCGGGATGAGTTGGGCCATGACTGTTCCGTCTGACTGTTCCATGACTGTTCCATGACTGTTCCATGACTCCTCAGTTGGCCCACGTTTTCCAAGGCAAAGAAGCGCTCAGTTCTGGGATCCCTCCTTGGAGCGTGCCTTTGCGTTGCTTCAGCTCACCATGGAGGTACCGCGCTGTCGTATACGCCAAAGGGAATGGTCATCCCATGGCATCTCCCTATTAGGGGTTGATAGCTGTTAATAATTGTTAATATACTTATAATATACATAATATTACATATATATATATATATATGTATTATTTATATTATTTATATATTTTACATTTTTTTAAATATATTATATTACATATATATATAATATTATATTATCTTATATATATTATATTACCTATTGTAAGAAATCCCGATAATAGAGATGACCGCCATAGTACAATATTTCACATTAACCAAACATACCAACTTTTGACCATGGCACACATGGCAATCTTTGAGTTCAACCTGAGGAGGATCATTGTAAGAAATTCTATGCTATTAAGGTCTCGCCAGGTGACAGATTTTGATCCAGATTTTGATCTAACTGCAGATGAACGAATATATGATGCAGGGTTGAAACAACACTCAACAAAAAATGAAGATCCACCAAAAAAGACTCACCACGTATTCAGAGCAGATGTTGCCGTCTTTGTTCCAGTGATTCACCTGCCTGCTGATCCTGTCTACGAGGAATGCGAGCTTTTACATCTTGAGCTCACCAACGGCGTGCCGGGCCGACCTCATCAACCTGCTTGCGGAAGCACTCCAAGGTGCCCGGCGGGGCCTACCAAGTCCCATGGAAGATACGGAAGTTGTTGAGATTTTCACGCCATTTTCATCCATTTTCCATCTCCGTTCAATGATTCGGCAATATTCAGGATGTGTTCCAAATTTCCAGACCTGAGGCGACTTGAGCAAGCCGAGGACTTGTGGAATCTGAGTTTGGGCTTGATCCTGGACGATGATCACCTTCCAACCTGGGGATTTGAGCTGTCAAAAGTGTTTTTTGTACACCCACATGGCAATTTCTAGTAAGGAAAATGATTCTAAATCAGAGGATTTTACTTGTAGGGTAATTATATGTAATTATACCGTGTACATCCATATACCCCATACTGCCATACCCACGTAAAACATGTTAAAACATTGTAGAACCACCAATACAAAGGCTATGAAAGGAGTACTTGTGGACCGCAGAAAGGCACAGGAAACTTGGGACAGTAGAGATCCAGCAGCATCCCTAGGAATTTGTAAAGGGACCAGAGAAGATCTTCGCTTCACGGCAGGACGTCGCACCTCGGGTTGACTACTTGGCACAGCTGCATGGAGCTCTGAGACAGGCGTGGCGTGGGCAAAAATGCGATTGGAGTTTTGCTCCAATCGCCACAAAACAACTGCAAGGTGGTGCCCCATAGTTAGCTAACTTGGTTTATAACTCCAATATCTCCATAACTAGCGGTTTATGACACATACATCTATAGTTTATGGGGGTTATAAACCAACAAACATAACTTGGCGGCACCACACTGTGGGGATCTGTGGGGATTCGACCAATCACTGAGCCAAGTGCGTCAGGCTTCCATTGAAGCGCGTGGGGGTTCCAAGTCGACACGACACCTGTGGCGAAGGACGCTCTTTGGACTAATATTGTCTTATGATTCTTATGCCTTCTCTATACGAAGAAGACTGAACATACTAACTTCATCTAACTTCTACTCCTAGTGCTTCTACTATATGGATAAAGTTGCTGTTTGTTTTGGACCAGACATCGTGCGATTCCCATGCATCAAGTTCATGGAGGGTGTACCTTCCCTTGGCAGCGAACTCTAGTTTGCTGCCCTTACAGACAGTATGCAGTACACATAAATCAAATAAACCTTGGCTTTGGCACACTTGTGGTAGACACCTTTGGTCTTGTGATGTATATGTGCAAACCTACGAAACTAATAGAGGCAGAACTTCAGCAGAACGGAAGAGTTTTCACCATGTGGGGATGGGTATTGACCCACAACCGGACCATTTTTTATTGCGAGGACAAACATCCATTTATCATTAATGTTACATAATGTTCATTAATTTTGTATACGTTTCTTAATGTCAAATCATAGGATGGAATTGATTTAGTGGTTGGAACCAGCTGCAGCTCATCAGGGCTATTCTGGATTTACATCCATTTGTCCAATTCCGGTTAATTGAGTTTAAATGCATGTCATATTGATTGTGGCTTTTGGATCAATTATGATCTACCCTCCGGTAGACTAAGATGCGGAAAGCCCACCATTTGTAGATCATTTTCGATGGCTTCCCCATGTTTCCCCATGGGTTTTCCACATCTTTTGACGAAGCACCGGTGGCTGCGGTCGTTTCCACCGTCGTCTGGAGGTCGTACTGCCTGTCGCTGGGAGGAGCTCATCAACCGATGCCTTCTGCTGGAGGATATCGAGGTGTGACGGGCAACTGGCGACAGAATTTACATCATAAAGCGGCTTCTTTTAAAGGTCTTTTAAAGGTCTTTTAAAGGTCCTTCTTTCGTTTTCTTTCCATGCTCGGAGTGGGGTTGTTAGACGTGAAAAATCATCTGGGGAAGTTATGATATGTTATTAAAATGTTATGATAAACATTGACAATTGATAAACAATGGGCTCTTGAGGTGCCCGATTTTGAACACAAAATTGTGATGAAACCCTACATGGCACCTGCACCTCGGCGATGATTCCAGACATGGAAGGCCTGAGAGTTAGCGGATGAATTTTGGTGAAATCATTGACCAAGAAATTGCAATCCGTTTCAGAAACTATGCATTTTTTTTAAATGGGAAACACATGGAACAAATCCATGATCATTATCAAAATCTACTGATTATTCTGAAATCCATTGGTTTTGATTTCGCCAATCTCCCAGGAGAATCTTCTTCCCTCGATTCTGGAAACATCGACTCTTTGGACCTGGGGCCCTTTACGATGGCACGGGAGCCCGAGAGAGCCTGGGAGGGCCGGGAGGGCCCGGTGCCCCGCAGTTTCCGTGTGAACTGAGGCTTTGCCAGTTGCCGGTGCTGCGCACTGCCTGGCACAAGTTGGTGGTGTTGTGGCTGTCCATCTTGAGGCGCTGGAAGCTACCGCGTCAGCGGGTCGGTGTTTCAGCCAGAAGATAAAGAAGTAGACAGACTCAGCTAGACTCGCTAGACCTGGTATGAAGTTGGGTCAAAGGGAACATGTTTCAGCAGTTCCGCTGGCCTTTCGTAGTGTTTTGGCTCAAGAGCCTTACGATTTGTGCCTCAAGTTCCAACCGATCCATGATGTTTCAGCTTCTTAGCGTCCTTGCAGCGACCTCAGTTGAAGCACTTTGCAAAGTGGCCAAAGGGGTTGGTGCATGTTGATCGGTATGTGGAAGCATGACAAGGTCACTACGTGCCAGCTTATGGTGGGCTACAAATAGTTTTCACATTGAAGTTGGTGTCTTATTTCCATCATTTTTCATTTGCATGTATGTATTCATGACCTATGAATATGAATTACATTACTTTGCATGATATTCCTGAACTATAATCATATACATATATATATACATATTGCATTATATTGCATGATAGAATGATATGCAGATATGCATATAGAATCATATAGAGAGAATATCAGAACATCCATTCAGAATTCTTAGATCCACTTCTGGGTAGCTCCTCTACTCGTGGATTCTACGAGGTACTGGCCCTAAGTCACTGGGCACGTGCTGCCTCAACAGAGACCTGCAGTCTTCCAGGCACCTGTCCTAGCAGGACGGCCCATCGAATGAATGTCCCATGTGCCGTCGACAGATGTTGAAAGACTGCAGGACTGAGGGCTCATTGTTCATCCAGAGGAATACAAAGTGCCTTGACAGCGGAGTCGGAGAAAAAGGGCTGGAGAAGGGTTTTGAATGTCTAGACTTGGAGAAAGTGCCTTAGCGCATGCCGAAGTAGTGAGTTATCATTGGTGTTGTCGTCTTCATCAGCTGATTCCCTGTGCAACTCAAACATGCTCAAACAATCATGTCTTGATCAAACTCTTACTAGTTTCCACGGACCCCAACAGTTTAAGCTCTATGGCATGTTTCTCAAGATCAAAGATCTTCAGAGCTTCAACAGCTTCACAGTAGAAGCATCATGCACCACTTATAGACTCATATAAACTCGTGAATCGTCCTGACTCCCGGAGCCCATGGGTCACCAAGGGCCCACATTCGCAGCAAGCTGGCTGAGCTGGCTGAGCTTGGAGCTGCGGGCGCTCAAAAAACTCCCGTCTGCCCAGATACCCTAGAGCCTTGGTGGAGTCAGGGGATCAGATTCCCAGCGGCTTCAAAGGTGTGAATTTTATGCTGAAAACATGTGCTGAAAAAATGTGCTGAAAAAATGTGCTGAAAAGAAAAGGCACTGGAAATTCTGAACTGATTGAATGCGCTGCTTTGTGGCTTTGCATCCTTTGATCCAAGGAAGGCGTCAGCCATGGCAGTGCTTGAGCCTGAGATCGATTGGATGTGTTGAGAATGTTGAGACATGTTGAGCCCCAACTTCTGGGGTGATTTATGATGATTTGATGTCGAAGATGTGTTCATAAATTGTTTATACATGTTCTCGACCATCTAATCCCTGTCTTTGGTGGCACAGAACAGGATCCCGTAACGTCCTGCAGGTCTCTACATCGCAGGTGGATGAGTGCTCCGGTCTTGCAGCGAGCAAACTGAACGACGACCTCTATTGGGTGGCTCGATGGAGTTTGACGAGTTTGACGGACCTTCACCTATATACAGTATTCATACATCTGAAATGACTTGTTTCTGCATCATTATTTTGGGAAAATGAATGATTTCTAGAAGAAAACACATCAGATGAATGGCATGGGCACCCATCAGCAACCGCTGGAGGTGAACAACGACTCTGGTGCAGGTCCCGTTTTGTCTCTCGGTGGAATTGGATCACTTGGATCGCTGCTGAGGTGGTGACAATTGATATCATGTGATGTTTACGGATTAGCTTCAAAGTCTGCATCTTCATAATATCAATTATTATTGTTTTCTCATTTTGAGAGACTCACTTTGTCAATCGATTCATTTATTTATGAGGCCTTGCCACCATGTTTCTTGGAATGTGATTGGCCCTGCTTTAGTATTCAGGCCCTTCTTTTTGAGTTTTCGGCATGGAAATGTAATTCTTTTCGTGGGGAGAGTCTGCGATGAACAAGAACAGTGGGTCCGTGAAAGCATGTTGAATATTATTGGCTGAACATGACTGAACCATGCAACTTTCAGCACCAAAACTGTCCACATTATAGTGACATCATGACATCTGAAGACTTGAACAAAATTCAGAGCTGTGGTTTGAGACCCACCCTCAGCATCTCCAAGCACTTCCAAGCTGTTCCTGGACGTTTCTCTGTTGCGGCAATGACAGAGGTATGGTATTCGAAAGAACGGCCAGCACGTAGCACGTCTGCGTGTGTCGGGTGCTGGAGCCAATGATTGGGAAGATATTGCAATCGGCCCAGGAGATTGTCCCCAAGATGTCCATGATAGTGCTGATAGTGCAGTGGACAATGGTGGACAAGCTTAAGGGATCTTAAGGCTGTGTTCCATTGTTGGTTTCCTCTTCTTTGTTTTCTTCTGGTGTTTGCGGTGATTGCTTCGAGCTTCAAGGGTTCTGTTGCGATAGGACCCACGAAGGGCAAATCTTACATCTACGTGGCCGATGCTTGGTTTGAGACAGATTCCTGGAACACACATAGGGCATGGCAAACGGATTCCGCTTCAAGCGTAACTATATATCTTTAATGTATAGCTGTGTAATGTAGTGAACTTTGTAGCTGCGTAGTGAGCTTCAAACTTCAAGCTGTAGTAAACTCTAGTGAACTTTGTAGTACATCCAACTTACCTGCGACGGTTTTTTGATGTTTTTTGAATGTAAGTCAAACATAATAAATGTCGCCTTTGAATCAACGGACTCAGGACGTGGGTGACAATTATCGCAAGCGGGGCACTGTGCAAATCTACCGTATGGAAGAGCCAAAGGTGGAGAGGGGGAGAAACCGCAACGATGACATCAGGCAGCCTGATCTTGCAGACTTGCCTTCCTGACTATGTTGATTTCTAGTTTAATAATGTCTGACCTGTTGAATTCTGGTTCTGGAAAAAACACTGGTAAAAGCTGGTCAAGCGATGTGAAGCATCCGTTTCAGTTCCTTTGACAGGAGATTTGCAAACCTGAATCAATTCCTATCCATGTTGCAGTAAAGACATGCTGACGTTGGAAGAGCTTAAACAGCTGACATTCGATCAGTTCGATCGAAGATTTGTGGCAAGGAGAGAATCGGACACTTTCACCCCATACCCATATGCTCCACGTATGGAATATTTACCAACATTTACCCCATAAATCACCCAAATGTAGGTAAATATACCATACATGGAGCATATGGGATAGATAGAAAAGGGGCAGCCGTTTTCGGTGATCCATGGCTCGCTGGTGCCGAGGGTTAGCGCTGTGCGTTTTGATGTCACCTATCCCAACAACATGAAGTACGACTGCGAGGCGCCTGTGATTGCAAGCGGAGTTGACTGAACAATGGCAGTTTGAATAGTGGCAATGTCTTCAAGGTTTGAGTTGTTTGGAAGCACGTCTTCTGCCCGGTTGTAAACTGAGAATTATATAATTGCTTTTGCCTGCCATGCCCTGAACATCCCTGAACCTTTGTATAAAGTTACCAGTTATCATCTAGAATCTAGTTGAAGTATTCTCCAGACTCGCCAAGCCAAATCTCTGGTCTCGGTTGAATGGCATCGGAAGCAAAATTTATTGTAGCTCTGTTGCTACAGATTTAGCTAAGTTTAGTGTCGATGAGCGATATATAAGCGATGATAAGCCTGCAAAATCAACAAACAAAAAACATCATTTGTTTCACCGAGCGTTTCTCGCTCCTGAGTCCATCTTCATTGACAAGGGCAAGGGTGCCAGGAAAGCAGGGACCGAAGGACGAGTCTACCTCATCACCAAGGCTTGGGTCTCCCTGCGGTATGGGTCAAAAACATCCACAATTTCACCAGAAATTGATGTGAGTCGGGGTCAAAATGGTTGAAGACCACTGTAGTATTGCAGAAGCATTTTTGTCAGATGCGCAGGAAACATCAGGAAACACTGTAAAGCGATAGGGCCCCCCTCCAAAAGCGACGACAATGGCACAACACACTGGAAAGCGATTTGCTCTCCCAAAAGCCGTAACCATGATAACAGTAATTACTATAATTACTGAGATGTAAAGGATTTTGATGGGACCTCATATATAGAAATAAGTAGTATAAACCATCCCCAAATTCCAAGTCCAGGAACCGTATAGGACTTGGTCATCTTTGCTGTTTCTGTCCAAGATAAAGGACTCATATCCAAATGTTGAGCTATAACTTATAATAAAGATACATGTAAAGATACATAAAGATACTTAGAGCTACCAGTACATACAGCCGTATAAGTTCCAACTCCTTTCATTTCTTGATTGTCCTAGCATTTCCTAACTACATTTTACATCTCGATGGCCTGGGTCTAGAGAAATTGCTGGTCAACGACATCAGAATTCACAATTTCCATATATTTCCACGAATTTACCAAGTTTTTTTGGGGATGGGTTGAAACCACAACACTCCAATTGTCCCAAAGCTCCTCAATCGCACCTCCAGGGCGACAACAGGGCCAGTGACCCCCAGTGGCGTAACTTGCCACAAGCTGCGGAAGAAAGTGACACGGTAGAGGTTTTTCAAGGTGTGATGATGAACATGTAGATGATATATATATATTGATATATGATTATTAGATATTATTAGATTAACATCTGGTTTGATGATTCATTTCGATATTTTGAACATGCCAATAGCCAGCACCCCTGATGAACACGCGCTGGCCGAGACTTCATGTGGGATGACGTTTTGGAACATGGCGAGCATAAGAATGACGAATTCATGAGATGAAAAGACATAATTTCCACCAATCCGATCAGCACATCAAACAACAACAACAATTGCTCACCTCATTGAAGGTAAACAAGTAAACAACCAGTGAAACCTAGACATATCATGAAATATAGCTAGCATCCCAAGGCCCCCACAGCAAACATCAACACATAGAAGCAGACATTTGAACACTGGCGCCAAATCAGAACAGGCAACATACAAACATCAACTCCCCAGAACCCCATCGTTCCTTTTTTTGGGGGGGCTGTGTACCCCATTTTTTGTGCGTGACTTCTAAACAGAGGTTTGACACATGGCATGACATGTGTGCTCAAACATGGGATGCCGAAGAAACTACCAATTCAGATAATTTACCTCCTATTAACACGAAAGCAGTTGTTCTTGGGGTTGAATAGGTTCGACCCAAGTGTCTGTTGAACGTTTGCTTTGACTGGCATGATAGACTGACATAACAATATGATTTATATGATGTATGTTGCTTAGCATATAATACATATACGATCTAATGTAATTATAGATATTTATATACGTATACATAATATACTAACCTTGACAATAATACCTTGACTTGGAGTAAAATGATAGGCTCCCACGCCCAGGTGGTGGAGATGTCTTCTACGTCGATTTGCCCAGAGAATCTGCTTCGCTTAGCTGGCAGGCAGAGATGAGCTGCGGATCAATCTGAGTTGTAACAACTTCACACCTAGGATGGGGGAATTTCGCCAAAATTACCTTAGTTCAGGTTGGTGAAGCATTAGAGTTCCTGCTTGTGCATAGGGGATCATAAGGGATGGGCATCAATATGATTCCCTTGGTTTGGCACCCAACAGGCAACCAGTACACGACTCAATTTGGTCCTGGCAACGGGTGCGGACATCACCCCGCGTGGCAACCTCATTGCTGTAAGGAGACAGCTTTGTTGACCTGATATTTGACAGATGAGTATCGGATTAGCCCAAAATTGGACTGGTTAAGAAACTGCAACTTTGGTGATGCTCATGAATTTGCCTTTGGAGAGTTCATCAATTATTTTTATTTTTTTTTAAAGCAAGTCATAGCCGAATCAGAGTCAGCTGCATCTTGAGCCACCAGGACCTACGGCGAGATTCAAATCTGGCCACGACCATGTGAGTGGAGTGTGGAGGTGGCCCCGTTCAAAATGTGCCAATGGTTGTCAATGGTTGCCAATGGTTCAACGACATATCGGGCTTTTTGCAGGGATACCCAGCATTCCCTGATCCTTAGCCTTTGTTCTGTTGAAAGGAACGTGTCATAATGTGTCAATCTTGTTGCAAGCATATAAAGGATATGGCAGTTTTCATTGGAAGGGTAGCGTGAGCGTGCGTATTATATAGTAAGAAATCTTTGGAGAAGCTGTGACCCGCATGCGTAGATTGCGTAAAGATGTGGCATGGTCAACCTTATCGCCCCAAAATGAACGGTTTAATACACAAATGGACCAATGTTGCGAGTCCATTGGTACCCAAGTCTAGATCCGTATCCAATACCCCATGTGTAAATGATCATAATATGTCATGCATTATTATAAAATTATATTGTATTATATTATTTGATATTATATATTATATTATATGATATGATATTATATTATTTATATATTTTTATTATATTATATAATATTATATTATATTATATAATATTATATTATATTATATAATATTATATTATATTATAATATATTATATTATATTATAATATATTATATTATATTATATTATAATATAATTATATATATTATAATTATATATATTATATTATATTATATTATATACTATATTATATTATATTATCTTGAATTATATTATATTATATTACATTATATTACATTATATTACATTATATTAAATTATATTGTATTATATTATATTCAATTGTATTATATTACATTATATTAAATTATATTGTATTATATTATATTATATTACATTATATTAAATTATATTATATTACATTATATTATATTATATTAAATTAACTTATATTATATTATATTATACTATATTATATTATATTATATTATATATTATATTATATATTATGCAGGTATGTCCCATATACATAATATATGCATACATATTATTATATATTCCATATAGTTTTTTCATTCAACATCATTCCATAAATTTAAGGAGGCATCCTTGCGCGCAACTTGGTCAGGAAGCCCTGAGTAAGCAACCTTGTGGAGTAGCCAGCAAGAACGAGCAGCAGGGTGAAGCCATTGCATTTGGCAAGGCGCCGATGCTGCTCGATCCTCCTCGAACCATGGGTTTCTGTGGGACAACTTTTTGGTTCTGGCATGTTTTTGTGTTGGGATCAGAATCCTTGTGAGGACTTGACATTTAGCGGCTTAGCGTGATGAACACGTTTCTGCCACAGACAATCGACGCTAGCTATTCTCCTTCCTGGTTTGTCATACTTTGCAGTTGATGCAGCATGTTTTGTATTTTCCCTGAGTCTTTGTGCAAACTAGTGTGAGTGCCACCAGTGGCAAGGCTGAAACTCACATGACCCATTCAGGGGGGGTGGTTTGGAACCACAGTCATTTGAGCAGGACGGCGACCACTACATCACAGTGAGTGAAGGTTTCTTGGCAAAATGAACTGATAATTGTCACTTGATAAAACAGCCCAGGGAAGCAACGTTTGGAGAACCCTTCGAAGTGAAGACTACCGAATCAATGATATCGAATGTCTTTTTACCTGACTCTATGGGTGTACAGTAATTTATGTGTCAAACTCGGGGTGCCTCAAAAAGATGGTTGGCACTGAAACTTGCGAAAAGATGTGTGCCCCAGGGTCCAGTTTTCATCTTCAATATCTTGGCTGTGAAAAAGACAGCTGCCACTTTAAGGAGGTGGGGGCGTTGAACCCAGGTAAATATCCCAAAGTGTGGTACTTTGGCATGACCCAACGCGGCCTGGCTGCATCGGAAATGGGCCGAGAAGACCTTCTGGGAAAGCCAGAGCCATGTGGGCTTTGGGGGTTGGGGTTGTTTGAAAACTTGGAACCTCAAATTCCGATTTGGGGGTTGATCATCGTATTCAGTGGCGTTTCCATGGCACAGCGATGGTCGTGGTCGTTGTCGTTGTCGTTGGGATCCCAGGTTTCCAGAAAGATATGATGGACAAAGCAAAGGCAGAGGCGAAAGCCATGGAGGCTCAGAAAGTTGCCTGATTCAGCAAGTAGTGAAGGCACACGGTGGAATGTTTTGGACTTAGCAAATCAGATATCAAGATGAAACTTTCACAACCACTGCTAGTGTTTTACTATGGTTACTATTGTGGGTGTTTAAATACGTATGTTTGACAATGTTCTTGGGTGAATATGGTGACAACCAATTATAGTAGTGGGTTTACTTCACCAGTTTTCAGACAAACATATCGCATGTGGTGGGTTCAAGAACTACTTCAGATCCATGCTGGCATGCATTTTCCCTTAGATTTTATATACATTATTTCACCTTTGTTCAGGAGTTATAAAAATCTATTTGGATGCTGTCCAGTTTGTATCGTGGTAGAATGCGATATGACAAAAAGGATGTAGAATGTTCGAAACGTTTGCTACGAAAGGAGACAGCTATGGACAGCTGTAATCAAATCACTCAGACAGTGGATGCCTCACCAGCAGAGTTTGATGCGACAGCTGCTACAATTTGTCTTCAACATTCTTCAACTATATTTGGCTGTTTTGCCATTGATTTTGTTGGTGTTTCTTGGAAGGAAACTTACAATTTTGCAGTTGAAAGCTATTATGACAGTCGGACAGAGATTTCTTGTCCTAAACATCCACCGGCACATCCACCGTACCTGGCGTAGCTTTTGTTAGTCGTTTGGCCGACTGGCCAGAAACTCTCGCAATCAGCGTGGAGCTTTTGAAAAAAAGGCGTGCCATTGTGAATTTGATGAGATGTGCGCTCGCATCTTCCCAGCCATTTATGGTATATAATACCCTCTGGTTACTTAACATAGCCATGGTATAGATGACCCATAGAAATAGATGGTTTACCTATTAATAGCATGGTGATTTTCTATGGCTATGTAACAAATAACCAGATGGTAGATATTCTGTCAGGTCGTTTATGTTCTTCGATGTGCAAGTGGCAGATGCATGCACCCCTTTCGCATGGCCAAGCTCTGCATGGTTCTTGTTCACTCGAACAGCCCGGCTTGCACTTTGCTAGCAAAACAACATTTACGTCCATTCAACAGAATTCTTGTTGTAACTGTACAGACAGTACAAAACATGTGGTTCACATGTGCGTTGTGTAGTTTCAATTTTCTTTGTGCAATCCTCTACAAGACTGGCAAAGTCATGTCAATGTATTGACAGCGACTAGTGTCATAATTGAGGCCTCAACTCAACATGTGCATAATAAGCCACTCCAAGGTCGGTATGGCAGCATTCAAATCATGTCATAGAACAGAGTAGAGATAAGTACAGGGAAGCTCTTTGCCACCTTAGATACTGCTCTGAAAAAACTCCATTTATATTCAATATCTCTACATGCACAATCATACACATATATGTGGTTGAAATGAGTTGAGCCAAGTTGCCCTTTTGTTTGGACTTCTTGCAATGCCGAGCTTGGCTTTTTACGGTTCAGCGCGCTTTACAGGGTCACCACGAGCCTCTTGTCCAGTCTGATTTGACTCGGCTTGAAACGTTGGTGCCGGCATCTTTTCTGATGCGATGAGAACCCTGCAGGGTGCGTTGAAGACTTTTGTACAGACTTGAACTGTATTGGTTTGTGAGACAATTCCAAGGCATGCACATCCGTTGGTAGCTGGTAGCCACAAACGACGGCCCAAGACCATAAACACTCAAGTTGACCCTTCTGGAAGCGAGCATTGAAAACGTATGTTGCATATTACTGCATTTTAACACCAGGTCGCTCCATATTTGCTAAACAATCAGAAGGTTTGACCGTGCAAGCCAGAGGATAAAACCGGGTAAAATGAGTAGGGTTCAATTTGGACAAGGCATTCCTGTACTTAGGAATAGGGTTGATTTTCGAATCCAACGTAATTAGAACCACAAGACTCAGACTGGACGGTAGTCATCATGGCCTCCATAAGTGCAGTCGCTCCCAACAAAGTCGCTCGGTAGTGCCTTCAAGTGCGCTGCTGAGATATTCATATGACTGGGACAGAAACGTCAGAAACGTCAGTTGATTGGACAACACATCTGGATGGTGCTTTCAAACATTTTTTATCTTCCATAATATATGGGATAGTCCTTCCCATTGACTAATATTTTTCAGAGGGGTTGAAACCACCAACCAGACATGTTTGATATTGTTTGATCAGCTCTCTTCTTTCGAGTGTAGGTGGCAGTCATGGTGCAAGAAAAGTGAAAAAGTGACAACTCAACGAGGGATGGGCCATGATGGGCCTGTGGCTTCCATGTAGTAGCCACCAAAGCATGGCAATGATCCAGGCAGTGGTGGTGCGCAGAGGTGGATAGTCCTCAGGCATCCTCAAGAGCTTGCCACCAGACAGCAGCTCTGACCACATGGATCGAGTCACGATGAACGTGGTGTTCTAGGACAAAAGAGTCGGGCACATGTGCCGATTCCTATTGATTCCTGTTGTTTTGTTTTGACCAATTTCTTACCTATCATGAAGAAATTTTGATATATTTATATATATATATATGATATATATATTATATTATATGATTATATGATATATGGTTATATGGAGATGTTTTCAAGGCATTGGCGGCACAGCATCAGCCGCTGAAGATTGGGAACAAAGATGGCCCTGCAAGTCCGACCCGAGCCGAGTGCCTGGTAGTGGAAAAGTGCTTGGCAAGTACAAGAGACATAGAGAAATATGCACACGTACTATATGTACATATATATATAAACACATATATATATATATTATACAGTAAACATATATATTATACAGTAAACATACATATCATATTTATATATAGAGAGTATGTAGTATACGAAGATCCATAGACGCTTCAGGCGCATGCTGGCTTGTATCACACAGCAGATTGCTCTCCGGCTATCTTTGCCCCGAACGTGTACATCTTAATCTGCTTCGGCCGTGTAATCAGAGCAGGGCTGTAAGATCCAGGTTGCTCATTTGGTACACATGGGGTTGTTGATATCCGGAGTTTAAGATTAAAACAATAACAGTTTCGATTGACATGCTTAAAAAACACAATTGATTATTTCAAATATGTCGTTCCCGAATGTTTTCGAAAGCACCCAACCATTCAGTAAACAGCCCCCCGGCATCATTGGAGGTCACGCGTGTTGAGACTCGTTGCCCTGGCCACTGGTGCACTCAGTGCAGGGGGGCCACAGGCATCGATGGGAAATCAGACATGGATCCAAGGTGAGGCAGTGAGGCAAGGTGGGACTGACCTGAAGTGGAATTCTGAAACTACCACAATTCTTCTGAGGTGGAATTTGTAGTGAGACTTTGAAACTTTCTGGATCTTACAAGGAGTCTTCGAAGCCATTTGCAGGATTCCCATCGGTTGTCAGCAGGATTTGATGTAGTGACACGCTAGAAATGACCCGTGGCATGTTCTTTATGGGAATACTGAATCCTAACAAGCCTTGTGCTGATGCAACTTGACGTGGATTAGCCTGATTCAGGGTGTCCTCTATGCACAAGGTTCAGTTTGTATGAGATTGAGTAACCTGTGGTTTGACAAAAAAACGTTTTCAGACCCCATTCCAAGATCCCATTCATGAACAAATATATCTGCTGTCTGTATATATGCATATAAATATATATATATATATTCAAAAGCTACATACTCATGTGGCCTGAAGCCACATGTTACTCTGCAAGTTTCAGATGACCAGCTGAATTGGATGCCAATTGGTCTGAGGTCCTGATCCTGAGCCGCCAGATCATGCTCTTCTTTGATATGAACGGGCCGTGGGCCTTTGGATCATTGACCCAGGGGACCCAGGTTGGGTTGATGGATTCGCATAGAAGCGGACGCGCTGAGATGCTGAACATGCCTGTGATGATTCATAATCATTCACCATGATTCATCATGATTCATGTATTGAACCTGACTTTCATCGCTTTCATCCTCTCTTGTGCTTACTTCAAGGGTCACCTGAAATCATTTAGCCAGACTTTGTTTTAGGATCCTCGAGTGAACAGCTGAATCTCTGTGAGGCGGTCTATGTGCTGACACTGGGCTACTTGGTGGGCACCACCTATTGGAGTTCCTTCCGATGGTCGGATGCTCAGCGTTGGCCACGACAGCGATGACATACCCTTGGCTGATCCGATGCCACAAAAGGATATGATGAAACTAGATTGCATTATATATGAATGAGTATATTATATGATTTTTGTTTCCTAATAGAATGGGCTAGCGCCCTGGTGCCGCCGACCCCCCCTATTTGGGGGGTCCTGTAGAGAGATAGAGAGATAGAGGGATAGATAGATGGATGGATGGATGGATGGACGGATGGACGGATGGATATTGAGGGGCACCTGGCAGCCAGTGGTCTTTTCTAGTAACAAGTAAATTGCCCGGCAGCCATTCTGGGCTGATGCATCCTTGAACTGTCCGCCCACTTATGCTCAGGAAAGACAAATAATACGTTGCTATCAAGATTCTTTTTTTTGCGAAGCTTAGAGACCATTGCAGCAATCTTCCCACATCGATCAGCGCATTCAACCTTTGGGAGGCTCCAAGAGTCTAAGAGAAAAATATGGGAGCAAGAAGATAGTCAGGGCAAGTTCCATAAAAGCCCAAATAAGATATAGTGTAAGTTTATAGGCCATCATGTAGAAGCCACCCGAAGTTCCCACAGTCACTGTGGGCCATGCAACTCTCCTTTGCCACCTCTTCGGCGGCATCATCTTCTGGAAGGAGGCAAAGGCAGGCTGCAACGCTGGGACAGCAAGAGCTTACAGCAGGGCTTGGTGGAAGCTGCTGCGAGGGGGAGTGTAAAGTGTAGAGTGTAGAGTGTGGAGTGTAAAGTGTGCAGTGATGAGGAGTGTAAAGTGTAACTTGTAAAGCATGGAGTGTCGAGTGAAGAGTGTAGAGTGTAACGTGTAGTGTGTAAAGTATAGAGTGTGGAGTGTGGAGTGTTGAGTGTAAAGTGTGGAGTGTGGAGTGAAAAAGTAAAAAAAAAGTGTGGAGTGTAGAGTGTCAAGTGTAGAGTGTAAAGTGTAGAGTGTGGAGTGCAAAGTGTGGAGTGTGGCCTGCAGCATGTAGCTGTAAGAGTTGTTGCCTTGGAGGCCTGCGGAAGCGTTTGGGGGGTTTGAGGGCGGGCAACGGCAGTCTTGAACCCCCTGAAAAACAGATGGCAGGGGCATGTAGCTGTAGCTGTAAGAGTTGTTGCCTTGGAGGCCTGCGGGAGGGTTGGAAGCGTTTGGGGGGTTTGAGGCCGCGCAAATGGCAGTCTTGAACCCCCTGAAAAACAGATGGCAGGGGCATGTAGCTGTAAGAGTTGTTGCCTTGGAGGCCTGAGGGAGGGTTGGAAGCGTGTGGGGGGTTTGAGGCCGGGCAAACGGCAGTCTTGAACCCCCTGAAAAACAGATGGCAGGGGCATGTATAGCTGTAAGAGTTGTTGCCTTGGAGGCCTGCGGGAGGGTTGGAAGCGTTTGGGGGGTTTGAGGCCAGGCAAACGGCAGTCCTGAACCCCATGAAAAACAGATGGCAGGGGCATGTAGCTGTAAGAGTTGTTGCCTTGGAGGCCTGCGGGAGGGTTGGAAGCGTTTGGAGGGTTTGAGGGCGGGCAAACGGCAGTCTTGAAGCCCCTGAAAAACAGATGGCAGGGGCATGTAGCTGTAAGAGTTGTTGCCTTGGAGGCCTGCGGGAGGGTTGGAAGCGTTTGGGAGGTTTGAGGGCGGGCAAACGGCAGTCTTGAACCTCCTGAAAAACAGATGGCAGGGGCATGTAGCTGTAAGAGTTGTTGCCTTGGAGGCCTGCTTGGAGGCCTGCTTGGAGGCCTGCGGAAGCGTTTGAAGCGTTTGGGGGGTTTGAGGGCGGGCAAACGGCAGTCTTGAACCCCCTGAAAAACAGATGGCAGGGGCTTGTAGCTGTAGCTGTAAGAGTTGTTGCCTTGGAGGCCTGCTTGGAGGCCTGCGGAAGGGTTGGAAGCGTTTGGGGGGTTTGAGGGCAGGCAAACGGCAGTCTTGAACCCCCTGAAAAACAGATGGCAGGGGCATGTAGCTGTAAGAGTTGGTGCCTTGGAGGCCTGCGGAAGCGTTTGGAAGCGTTTAGATGGCAGGGGCATGTAGCTGTAAGAGTTGTTGCCTTGGAGGCCTGCTTGGAGGCCTGCTTGGAGGCCTGCGGAAGCGTTTGAAGCGTTTGGGGGGTTTGAGGGCGGGCAAACGGCAGTCTTGAACCCCCTGAAAAACAGATGGCAGGGGCATGTAGCTGTAGCTGTAAGAGTTGTTGCCTTGGAGGCCTGCTTGGAGGCCTGCGGAAGGGTTGGAAGCGTTTGGGGGGTTCGAAGCCAAGCAAATGGCAGTCTTGAACCCCCTGAAAAACAGATGGCAGGGGCATGTAGCTGTAAGAGTTGTTGCCTTGGAGGCCTGAGGGAGGGTTGGAAGCGTTTGGGGGGCTTGAGGCCGGGCAAACGGCAGTCTTGAACCCCCTGAAAAACGCATGTATAGCTGTAAGAGTTGTTGCCTTGGAGGCCTGCGGGAGGGTTGGAAGCGTTTGGGGGGTTTGAGGCCAGGCAAACGGCAGCCTTGAACCCCATGAAAAACAGATGGCAGGGGCATGTAGCTGTAAGAGTTGTTGCCTTGGAGGCCTGCGGGAGGGTTGGAAGCGTTTGGGGGGTTTGAGGGCGGCGAACGGCAGTCTTGAACCCCCTGAAAAACAGATGGCAGGGGCATGTAGCTGTAATTGGAGGCCTGCGGGAGGGTTGGAAGCGTTTGGGGGGTTTGAGGCCGGGCAAACGGCAGTCTTGAACCCCCTGAAAGACAGATGGCAGGGGCATGTATAGATGTAAGAGTTGTTGCCTTGGAGGCCTGATTGGAGGCCTGCGGGGAAGCGTTTTTGAAGCGTTGTTTGGGGGGTTTTTGAGGGCGGGGTGCAAACGGCAGTTCTTGAAACCCCTGAAAAACAGATGGCAGGGGCATGTAGTGTAGCTGTAAGAGTTGTTGCCTTGGAGGCGTGCTGGAGGCCTGAGGAAAGGGTTTGGAAGCGCTTTGGAGGGGTTTGAGGGGGGCAAACGGCAGTCTGGAACCCCTTGAAAACAGGATGGCAAGGAGGCATTGTAGCGTAAGAGTTGTTCCTTGGGAGGCTGCGGAGGGTTGGAGAGTTTTAGATTGAGATGGCAGGGCATGTAGCTGCAAGAGTTGTTGCTTTGGAGGCCTGCTTGGAGGCCTGCGGAAGCGTTTGAAGCGTTTGGGGGGTTTGAGGGCGGGCAAACGGCAGTCTTGAACCCCCTGAAAAACAGATGGCAGGGGCATGTAGCTGTAGCTGTAAGAGTTGTTGCCTTGGAGGCCTGCTTGGAGGCCTGCGGAAGGGTTGGAAGCGTTTGGGGGTTTGAGGGCGGGCAAACGGCAGTCTTGAACCCCCTGAAAAACAGATGGCAGGGGCATGTATATAGCTGTAAGAGTTGTTGCCTTGGAGGCCTGCGGGAGGGTTGGAAGCGTTTGGGGGGTTTGAGGCCGGGCAAACGGCAGTCTTGAACCCCCTGAAAGACAGATGGCAGGGGCATGTATAGATGTAAGAGTTGTTGCCTTGGAGGCCTGCGGAAGCGTTTGAAGCGTTTGGGTGGTTTGAGGGCGGGCAAACGGCAGTCTTGAACCCCCTGAAAAACAGATGGCAGGGGCATGTATATAGCTGTAAGAGTTGTTGCCACGGGAGGGTTGGAAGCGTTTGGGGGGTTTGAGGCCGGGCAAACGGCAGTCTTGAACCCCCTGAAAAACAGATGGCAGGGGCATGTATAGATGTAAGAGTTGTTGCCTTGGAGGCCTGCGGGAGGGTTGGAAGCGTTTGGGGGGTTTGAGGCCGGGCAAACGGCAGTCTTGAACCTCCTGAAAAACAGATGGCAGGGGCATGTAGCTGTAAGACAGGCTTGAACCCCCTGAAAAGCAGATGGCAGGGGCATGTAGCTGTAAGAGTTGTTGCCTTGGAGGCCTGCGGAGAGTTTGGAGGGTTTGAGGCCGGGCAAACAGCAGGAGCATGTAGATGGCTGGGGCATGTAGCTGACAGAGGTGTTCAGGGGCATGTAGCTGTAAGAGTTGTTGCCTTGATGGCGTGTGCCTTGCTTGCGACCCGAGAGCCAAGTTCCACACCTCCGGTGGTCCCAGGCGCCGCCCCTGCCTTGGCAAAGGCCGGGGTCGGCGGACATTTGCCCCGCATGCAAAGGGAATGTGGCCAGTGAGGTCAAGACAGGGCAAATAGACCATCGAACGGTCTGTGGGAACCAGTTTTCTGTGAGGGACGGCGTTGTGAAGGAAAAAGCGTATGTTTCCATTTGCCCCGCATGCAAAGGGAATGTGGCCAGTGAGGTCAAGACAGGGCAAATAGACCATCGAACGGTCTGTGGGAACCAGTTTTCTGTGAGGGACGGCGTTGTGAAGGAGAAAGCGTATGTTTACATTTGCCCCGTTTGCAAAGGGAATGTGGCCAGTGACGTCAAGACAGGGAAAATAAACCATCGAACGGTCTGTGGGAACCAGTTTTTTGTGAGGAACGGCGTTGTGAAGGAGAAAGCGTATGTTTACATTTGCCCCGCTTGCAAAGGGAATGTGGCCAGTAACGTGAAGACAGGGCAAGTAGACCATCGAAGCGTCTGTGGGAAGCAGTTTTCTGTCAAGGACAGCGTTGTGAAAGAGAAAGGTGGTAAACGACAAGCTGGAGGGTTTTAGGGCTGGCAAACGGCAGACTTGGACGCCCATAAAAAGCCATTGATGTGTGCCCTTGGGGTGCCTGTTGGCTGCCAGAGTGGCCATAAGAAGCCATTGATGTGTGGCCTTGGGGTGGCTGTTGGCTGCAGGATGAAGCATGCCAAGTCAACGTTTTAAGGGTTTCAAGGTTTTTAAGGGTTTCGAGCGTTTTAAGGGTTTTAAGGATTTGGAGGGTTTTAGGGCTGGCAAACGGCAGACTTGGACGCCCATAAGAAGCCATTGATGTGTGCCCTTGGGGTGCCTGTTGGCTGCCAGAGTGGCCATAAGAAGCCATTGATATGTGGCCTCGCGGTGGCTGTTGGCTGCAGGATGAAGCATGCCAATTCAGCGTTTTAAGGGTTTTAAGGTTTTTAAGGGTTTGGAGCGTTTTAAGGGTTTTAAGGGTTTGGAGGGTTTTAGGGGTGGCAAACGGCAGACTTGGACGCCTATAAGAGGCCATTGATGTGTGCCCTTGGGGTGCCTGTTGGCTGCCAGAGTGGATAAGAAGCCATTGATGTGTGCCCTTGGGATGCCTGTTGGCTGCCAGAGTGGCCATAAGAAGCCATTGATGTGTGGCCTCGCGGTGCCCATAAGAAGCCATTCATGTGTGGCGTCGGGGTGGCCATAAGAAGCCATTGATGTGTGGCCTCGGGTGGCTGTTGGCTGCAGGATAAGCATGCCAAGTCAGCGTTTTAAGGGTTTTAAGGTTTTTAAGGGTTTGGAGCGTTTTAAGGGTTTTAAAGGTTTGGAGGGTTTTAGGGCTGGCAAACGGCAGACTTGGACGCCCATAAGAAGCCATTGATGTGTGCCCTTGGGGTGCCTGTTGGCTGCCAGAGTGGCCATAAGAAGCCATTGATATGTGGCCTCGCGGTGGCTGTTGGCTGCAGGATGAAGCATGCCAAGTCAACGTTTTAAGGGTTTTTAAGGGTTTGGAGGGTTTTAGGGCTGGCAAACGGCAGACTTGGACGCCCATAAGAAGCCATTGATGTGTGCCCTTGGGGTGCCTGTTGGCTGCCAGAGTGGCCATAAGAAGCCATTGATGTGTGGCCTCGCGATGCCCATAAGAAGCCATTCATGTGTGGCGTCGGGGTGGCCATAAGAAGCCATTGATGTGTGGCCTCGGGGTGGCTGTTGGCTGCAGGATGAAGCATGCCAAGTCAGCGTTGTAAGGGTTTTAAGGTTTTTAAGGGTTTGGAGGGTTTTAGGGCTGGCAAACGGCAGACTTGGACGCCCATAAGAAGCCATTGATGTGTGCCCTTGGGGTGCCTGTTGGCTGCCAGAGTGGCCATAAGAAGCCATTGATGTGTGGCCTCGCGGTGCCCATAAGAAGCCATTCATGTGTGGCGTCGGGGTGGCCATAAGAAGCCATTGATGTGTGGCCTCGGGGTGGCTGTTGGCTGCAGGATAAGCATGCCAAGTCAGCGTTTTAAGGGTTTTAAAGGTTTTTAAGGGTTTGGAGCGTTTTAAGGGTATTAAGGGTTTTAAGGGTTTGGAGGGTTTTAGGGCTGGCAAACGGCAGACTTGGACGCCCATAAGAAGCCATTGATGTGTGCCCTTGGGGTGCCTGTTGGCTGCCAGAGTGGCCATAAGAAGCCATTGATATGTGGCCTCGCGGTGGCTGTTGGCTGCAGGATGAAGCATGCCAATTCAGCGTTTTAAGGGTTTTAAGGTTTTTAAGGGTTTGGAGCGTTTTAAGGGTTTTAAGGGTTTGGAGGGTTTTAGGGGTGGCAAACGGCAGACTTGGACGCCCATAAGAAGCCATTGATGTGTGCCCTTGGGGTGCTTGTTGGCTGCCAGAGTGGCCATAAGAAGCCATTGATGTGTGGCCTCGCGGTGCCCATAAGAAGCCATTCATGTGTAGCGTCGGGGTGGCCATAAGAAGCCATTGATGTGTGGCCTCGGGGTGGCTGTTGGCTGCAGGATAAGCATGCCAAGTCAGCGTTTTAAGGGTTTTAAGGTTTTTAAGGGTTTGGAGCGTTTTAAGGGTTTTAAAGGTTTGGAGGGTTTTAGGGCTGGCAAACGGCAGACTTGGACGCCCATAAGAAGCCATTGATGTGTGCCCTTGGGGTGCCTGTTGGCTGCCAGAGTGGCCATAAGAAGCCATTGATGTGTGGCCTCGCGGTGCCCATAAGAAGCCATTCATGTGTGGCGTCGGGGTGGCCATAAGAAGCCATTGATGTGTGGCCTCGGCGTGGCTGTTGGCTGCAGGATGAAGCATGCCAAGTCAGCGTTGTAAGGGTTTGAAGGTTTTTAAGGGTTTGGAGCGTTTTAAGGGTTTGGAGGGTTTTAGGGCTGGCAAACGGCAGACTTGGACACCCATAAGAAGCCATTGATGTGTGCCCTTGGGGTGCCTGTTGGCTGCCAGAGTGGCCATAAGAAGCCATTGATGTGTGGCCTCGCGGTGGCTGTTGGCTGCAGGATGAAGCATGCCAAGTCAGCGTTTTAAGGGTTTTAAGGTTTTTAAGGGTTTGGAGCGTTTTAAGGGTTTGGAGGGTTTTAGGGCTGGCAAACGGCAGACTTGGACGCCCATAAGAAGCCATTGATGTGTGCCCTTGGGGTGCCTGTTGGCTGCCAGAGTGGCCATAAGAAGCCATTGATGTGTGGCCTCGCGGTGCCCATAAGAAGCCATTCATGTGTGGCGTCGGGGTGGCCATAAGAAGCCATTGATGTGTGGCCTCGGGGTGGCTGTTGGCTGCAGGATGAAGCATGCCAAGTCAGCGTTGTAAGGGCTTTAAGGTTTTTAAGGGTTTGGAGCGTTTTAAGGGTTTGGAGGGTTTTAGGGCTGGCAAACGGCAGACTTGGACGCCCACAAGAAGCCATTGATGTGTGCCCTTGGGGTGCCTGTTGGCTGCCAGAGTGGCCATAAGAAGCCATTGATGTGTGGCCTCGCGGTGGCTGTTGGCTGCAGGATGAAGCATGGCAAGTCAACATTTTAAGGGTTTTAAGGTTTTTAAGGGTTTGGAGCGTTTTAAGGGTTCGGAGGGTTTTAGGGCTGGCAAACGGCAGACTTGGACGCCCATAAGAAGCCATTGATGTGTGCCCTTGGGGTGCCTGTTGGCTGCCAGAGTGGCCATAAGAAGCCATTGATGTGTGGCCTCGCGGTGCCCATAAGAAGCCATTCATGTGTGGCGTCGGGGTGGCCATAAGAAGCCATTGATGTGTGGCCTCGGGTGGCTGTTGGCTGCAGGATGAAGCATGCCAAGTCAGCGTTTTAAGGGTTTTAAGGTTTTTAAGGGTTTGGAGCGTTTTAAGGGTTTGGGTTTGGAGGGTTTTAGGGCTGGCAAACGGCAGACTTGGACGCCCATAAGAAGCCATTGATGTGTGCCCTTGGGGTGCCTGTTGGCTGCCAGAGTGGCCATAAGAAGCCATTGATGTGTGGCCTCGCGGTGCCCATAAGAAGCCATTCATGTGTGGCGTCGGGGTGGCCATAAGAAGCCATTGATGTGTGGCCTCGGCGTGGCTGTTGGCTGCAGGATGAAGCATGCCAAGTCAGCGTTGTAAGGGTTTGAAGGTTTTTAAGGGTTTGGAGCGTTTTAAGGGTTTGGAGGGTTTTAGGGCTGGCAAACGGCAGACTTGGACACCCATAAGAAGCCATTGATGTGTGCCCTTGGGGTGCCTGTTGGCTGCCAGAGTGGCCATAAGAAGCCATTGATGTGTGGCCTCGCGGTGGCTGTTGGCTGCAGGATGAAGCATGCCAAGTCAACGTTTTAAGGGTTTTAAGGTTTGTAAGGGTTTGGAGGGTTGTAAGGGTTTGGAGGGGGGTGAAGGGTTTAAGGAAAACGTACTTGCCCAAAGCATGTAATTTTCATGTCCAAATGCCTGGAAGTTTTAACTGGAGGACGAAGCATGCCAGGAAAATGTTTACGCGATATGGCCTTGGGGCAGCTTGATGGCTGCGAGATGGGTTTGACCGTGGAAAGCGAAGAAGGAGAAGTTCCACACCTGCGGTGGTCCCAGGCGCCGCCCCTGCCTTGGCCAAGGCCGGGGTCGGCGGATATTGATGTTATTTGATGTTATTGTATCATTGCGGTATCATCATGTATATCATGTGTCAGTCGAGGAGACAAGAGATGAAGGAGGCAATGCAGGATGTGGTGAGAGCCAAGTTAGAAAGTGTGAGAGTAGAGCTTGAAGGCTGGGCCATGGCACCATGGGGCCGGCTGGGTCACGGGCATGGCCTGGGCGGCCGCTCTTGTGCTGTGGCCAGGTGAAGAAGCGAGTCATGCCATGGATACGAGCTCTGGCAAAAGAAACAAGGCAGATCGAGCCGATGCATCTCGTGATTCGTGTTTGTATCTCGGAGATTTCAATAGGCAGAGACTGTCTCCCGGCATGAAGCCAGCTGAAAGGCATTTTCCGTTTGGCGTTCCGGGCGGTTCTGGGCGGTTCTGGGCGTTCCGGACAGGTGATGAAGACAATTGAAAAGATAAAGAGAAAGAAGCAATCTGCCAAACAAGCCAAGGTCGACAGGAAACTCTTGAGGCAGCTTGCACAGGATTGTATATGAAGATATATGAAGATGATGGGCCAATGGGGCAATATGGGGCTCGTGGATCGAGTGATAAGTGATACTGCTCCGGCTCGCCCCTGTAACAGTTTAACAAGCTCTTGCCACCTTGTTCTGCATGGCGCGGGATCCATGTGGACCATGACAGCCATAACGCAGCTGTTCCAGGGCTGCGAAAGAGCAAGGGGCCATCAAGTCCATCAAGGTTGTTCGAGAGATCTTGGCCACTTGGTTGTTTGACGATTTCAACAGTTGAAACGCACCTGGCTACATCAAATATAGTAGGACATGGTAGAAAAATCAGCATTATGTCCACGTATGTTGACCATGCCCGCCCCCCCACCCCCACCCGGGCCCCAGGAAGGCAAGAAAAAAACTGCCTTCCGCCCAGATGGTGCGGAGCGGAGGCGCGACAAGCGTGTCCGTGTCGCCCGGGAAAAACGAGAGCGTGCCCTGGCAGATTTTGGCAGATTAGGATAACTTGATAGCGTCACTATTGCTCAGTCATTTGATGTAAAAGGATGTAACAGGGTGGTTGTGCCAAGTCCAAACAGCTTGTGATTCTGTGCGCGAACATTCTGAACCTTTCTGAGCACTTGTGCTGGTGAAAATTAGTCTTGCCACTTCAGAGAGCTGTGACGCCATGATTTCACAAAAGATAGAGCTGTCCTGCTTCTTTTTCGGAGGACTGGCAGGTGTGTGGACCAGGACACCAGTTGAGTCCAGTAGTTTCCTGTACGGGAGAGCCCGATCCCGATCCATCGTAAGGTCTTGGCTTTTCAAAAGTGGATGGTGCCGGAGAAGAATACGAAGATGAGGAACAGGAGGAGGACGAATGATCCCTCGCAAACGCGATGCGAAAACAAATCGTCCCTGCGCGATGCTGCTTGTTTAAACATATTTAAACATGTTTGCAACAAAGGCTTGGATGGCGTGGAGAGCACTTGAGTTTCGATTAGCTCCACAAGAGCCACCTGAAGCGTTGATCCCATCACTGCCACCTTGGCCCTGGGGTCCAGGTGGTGGTGCTCCGAGCCGGACTTGTTCCTACGATGACGCATGATGCCTTCACGAAGCTACTTGAGAGTGTGCCAGGAGTAGGAAGCGCCGTATGCGAATAGCCAGAGGTTGTTTCGCTGGGAAGGTCATTCAGAGTGCAGCACCAAGAACATCGATGAACGCCATACATTGAAGATGGATGAAGATGGAACATATTCAAAAATCTTACATTCCGCTGGTGAATGAAGTCTACTTGCTCAGATACGGCACATTGCTTTCGCCATAAATCCAATCCTCGTTTTCACGTTATTTTGAAATATGGCCACGGCATGTCACAATACCATACAATACCCCCCCGCCTTGGCATCTCGCTGCAAATGAAGCGTGCAGTGTGCAACGATGTGCAACGGCTCGAACTCTGAGCCGTGTGTGAGACTGAAGGAGAGAAATAGCTGGATCGGCGATCGATCTTACATGGTTGAGCAATGTCGAACATTCTGAAAAACATTGAAAAACAAGTCGGTAGTAATGGCTGTTGGATTGGTTTTGGATTGCTGTCGGTTTTTGGTTTCCCTTCGTTGTGGGTACACTGCAAACCGTCTCATTCTTGAGGAGCTTTTTTCGGGTCAGAGGGCGCCAGTATGCTCTTGATCTCACTCAATAGGTACCGCAATGGGTAGCGGCACTCTCTGAAGAACGTCGCATCAATCAGATAATTAATCCACCGAGTACCGACCAAAGTGATCATACGATTCCTTGACTAATTTGTTACCTTTTTGCAGCAGATTTCAGATTGGCATTTCTTCTCACACCGCCAGCCATGGGGAAACGACACCCTCTCCGCTCTGTCCGGGCAACTTGTTGGGATGGAAGCCATAAAAAACGCATTCTTTACTGGATGAGAATCTCCCCAGTTCATGGCTGGCAAAACAGGCTTTTTTAGACAAGAAAATAGTTTGGGCGTTCAGTGTGCGCTTGTCACATCATCGTTTGCTCTTGTGCTTACCGACGCTCCTTCATTGCCAAGGTCCTAATCCTTTGTGCCATTGTTGCTTGATGCTGAGAGATTTTACAAGTGAATTACAAATGCAGAGGGTGCAGAGGTTGGCTGTTTCCCAATTTTTCCAAACATGCCAAACTTTTCCAAACATTTGATGGTTTGGGCTGGTTCGGCATGGTTTGGTTCAGCTGTTTGCATACCTATCCTATCACATCATGTCACCAAGAGCTCGGCGGACAGCGGTAAATGGCCATCGGTTAACCATGCTGTGGTGGAGTTTTCAATGGTTTTGGCAAAAAAAAACCCTAAGGTTTTCCCCATTCAGTGATGGAAAGACATTGCAGGACTGTTGAGGACAGAAGGAGAGGTCCAGGATTAAAAAAAGGATTCTTTCCTCACAATCCAAGACAAGCCTTACAGGAAACCATCCTTAGGAGAGGTGGCTGTTTCGATTTGTTTCTCTTTGACAGCACCCCACTCAAACCTTGGCTAATGAGCTAGATGAGCTAGCTTGTTTGGAGGATTGCTGTGTAATGCCGTGTAGGTTTGTGAGCTCTTTAGATCCTCCATGATCCTCTGATTGATCTGATTGCCGATGTGCCTAGGCTTTGGCTAGCCACTTGGATGTGGGTTTTATTGGTCCAAGGCATTGGGGAAATCTGGAGGTGTACAGTCATGGATCGAGCTTGTCAATGCTTGTCACATGAGCTCAACATGCATTTTGTTCTGCAGGCTTGGGGTGGGATCAAGCCATTTGCCCCTAGAGTCCCTAGAGTCCCTAGAGTCCCTAGAGACAAAACAAGCTGCGAGATAGCTCTGTCCGTTGCTTCACCTTGAGTTAGTGATTGATCGTTGTTCATGTCCGGTTGTCGTGACACGTTGTGTCAGGGGCCTGAATCCTTTGACGTACCGATTGCCACCGATCATTTCATGCTGTAAGCATACTTTGCATTGCAGGCCTTTGATTCGTCCAAATGGATCTGCACGTTGGGTCGCTTAGTGTGACGAGATTATACAAAAATATACTATAGCAATCTATAGCAGATGGTGAAGAGGATGCGTGCCCGCCGGGCTGCAGGTTTTGCGGAAGCAGCAGTAGATACTGTTGAAGCAGAGCCGGAACCCGCAGAGCCCAAGGAGACCATTATGAAAACAGATGATTTGAACATATTTGAACAGTGTCGGAGAGTGGAAGGAATTCGGGTGTTTGAAGTCAGGATGCCATTGCCGATTGTTTTGGCAAGAAACATTCAACGGCTTTGTGGCACCGGCTGCATTTCACAACGGGACGGGTTTTCTTGTCAGGAGCCTGAGATTCCCGTGGAAGGTGGCCGGCTGTGCTTACGTCACACGACATTCTTCCCACACCTACTGGGGCTGCTTCAAACAGGGTGGCTTGAAGACGAGGCTTAGGAATTCCCCAAACCTGTAACAGCTGGAACAGCCTAGCTTCTGCTAGTTTTTTCTTTCGTTTTCTAGCTTCTGCTGACTCCGCATAGCTAGGCCGAAATTTGGGAAGGGGCAAACCTCGCTGTCAAAACTTCCTACGAAGGTTTATATGACTTTTTTGCCTGGGAAAAGACTAGCTTTATTTGGTATCTTTAAAGGTTACTGTATTTATTTTGTTCTGTTATATAGTTCTATGATGTTCTATGTTGTTTTTCTTGGTTTCCATCGTGGGCTAGCATTTTTGAAGCACCAGATGTGCCACAATGAGACATGCATTTCTTTGTTTTTCTGCAATGACATCTTCATATAGATTCAATACATTTCAATACACTTCAATACAGATTCGCAATAAGTATATACTATACTGAGTTTCCGCATGTAGACTGCGATATCCACATGTCTCCATCAGCGCGGCTGTCAGGCTCAGTGACAATTGTTCGGTGCCTGGGGGTTGGGGTGACTTGGGGAGGGCATCGGCATCACACTAAAAAGACTTAAAAAGGAACTAAGGAGGAACATGAAAGACTCTGAAAGACAATTCAGCTCCATTTTGGCTGGAAGAGACTGTTGTAAACAGCCGGCCTTTGGCGCAGCTAGTTTCACTGATCAAGCCATGAGTTGTCCATGTTTCCTGTTTCCGAAGGTAGCAAAACAGCATAGCACATGCCGAGACTAGTCCCAACCAGATATATACCTATTCTGTTGGCTGAGAATCCCAGATTTCTAAGCCTGTATGGACCTGTTTGTGCATCCGACAGTGTAGCAGTGAATGTCAAATCCAACAAGAGCCCAGCTCACTCTATCTTTCCCTGCATGGATCTCAGCGCCTCGTTGATGAACGAGCTGCATGAGCTGGTAAGTTGAGCTGTGATGCTGCATCATGAGTGAGGTGGACGGGCGTCGCAATCGTGCGAGAAGAGTGTGCTCCTCTTTGCACAAGCTCCTGTCATGTGTTGACAATCTTTGGCACAAGCTCCGGGTCAGTTGCAAGCGACGAAGAAATTCGCAGAAGAGGGTGCTGTTTTACACTGCCCAGGGCATTGGAAGCTTATTTGTGATGATTGCAGCTATCGTCTTGTACCAGATCATTTTGGCAACAGCCACCACCTTGAGTGAGACCTGTGGCAGTGACTCCATACCAACGAATGACACTGATTTGAAAGCCCAAACCACTGCAGACCAAAGCTCCTTTCAATGCAGTGGTGATGCCTTTGGCCTAAGTGCATGCGAATATGGGGATTTGCTCAATGTGGCCAACATGATGTATGCAAACTTCTACGTCAATGGTATGCAGTTTCTGGTCTGCATGCTGTTAATCTACAGCCTCGGGAAGTTCACGCACTTGCCAGCAGAAAAGCTGCAGTTTGACAAGAAAAATGCGTCCAGATTGATGATGCTCTTCGGAGGCATTTGCAAACAAGGCCCCTGGCTATTCCGGCTCTTGCACTTTCTGCAGGGTATCCGGATTTTTGGATCATGGCTGATGATGGTTTTGGGCTACTGCCGTGGCAACCTGGCCTACAGTAGCTACTGCATCGCATACAGTGAAAACTGTGCGTACAACAAGGCCCGAAATTGTCAGTACTACTATGTCTATTGCCAGCCTGATGCAACTTTGCTCTTGGGTTGCTACACTGAAGCTGGTCGAGCGGCTTTCAGCGGGCGCATGGACATCCGGGTGCTTTCAGGTGTTCACTGCGTAGCCTGTGGCATTCTTGAGGCGGACTTCGCCAACACCATGTGAACAGACGAGTTCTACTTGTTGGACGATTCGTCCAAAGGCACCAATGCTTGGGTGTGCAATGAACAGCTGCAAGGTTGCTTCCACACGACCGCCTGGTCCAGTATCAAGTGTGGCACCAGCACCAGCGGAGGGACCTGCGAGGCATCCTTGGGCGGTGTTGTTACAGCAGATTACCTCTCTGGAACCTTAGCGGAAATTGTCTGTGCTCGGCGCCGTTTGGACTTCCAGATGCTGGATGCTGATATTAGAAGATTGAACGAAAGCACTGATGATGGGGATGCCGCTGCAGATGGCGACGATGCTGGGGATGATGGGGATGACGCTGGCGATGATGCGGGTGACGACGGGGATGCATCAGCTGAAGAGACGACAGTGTCTCAGCAGTGCAGCTGGGGGAACCCAACCATCGCGGATTACTTCTATGACATTTCTCAGTGCAGTCAATCAGGGTCTCTCGTCTATCGGCTCAGCATGCTCTATGTCTACTTTGCTGGTTGCTCTTTTGCGGTGTCTACAATCTTCGGGCAAATCGTACGCTTGTTGCTGAACCCGGAGCCATGGTTCTTCAATCCGCAGTCCGCGGATGAAAATTTCATCTTCAAATTCTTGAGGCTAGTAGCTCCTTAGGAGCTCTTTCTAGCACTGAATGCTTAGCGTGCTGCAAGAAAGCTTCAGCATGAGCGTTTAAAGAGGCGCAACTTCTGCGGGGTGCTGTTCCGCCAAGCAATGATTGGATAACGATTGGACACTCTCACAGGTCTGAAGCCAATGTCACACAATGTCACGCATCCAGATGCGTCATGCGTCATGATGCTTGCGCCTCCTTTTTTCTTTTGTGAACTTTTGTGTATTTGACGGTCCAGATTTATTAAGTTTTATCAAGCCTGGCCGCCTGGCCTAAGATGGTCGCTTTCCATCGCTTTCCAAGGTCCAAGGCGTCACTCGTACACGAGTCCCGTGGGCTTCAGAGGAGACCTGTGCCTTACTGCGAGAGCGTTGGGACGCGCAGAGATGACTTGACCTGTTCAGATCTGTTCAGACTATTTCAGACTAGTTTTATCTTTTGAACATTTGGAAGTTTATATATTCTAATGCACACACAAATATAATATATATATAATATATATATAATAACTATATATATAATATAATATAATATAATATAATATAGTATAATATAATATAATATAATATAGTATAATATAATATAATATAATATATACATTAATCAGATTTAATAAGACCATTTCAGACTTTGTCAACAAGCTACCACTAGATTCCAGTGGCATGATGGCCAAGGGGTTCACGTCTTCCAGATTCATTGCATATCTTCCGAAAACAGGTGGCATTCACGCTTCAAGACAGTCCCAACGTGGCTGCGGCATGGGCTGAGGCATCGAAGAAGCAACAGGTATTCCAGCTGCCAAGCAACAGTTAAAACTGGTTGGGTGCCAAGGTGGAAGCCTTCAGCAGTTCCGTCCTCGAAGGAGCCGGTGGCCGAGGCAAATCAAGAGCTACTTGCAGAAGGGAATGAAAAGCAAAGTTCCTACGAGGCGATGCGCCGATCGCCTTTGCCTTGAGATCCTTGAGCCTTCAAGTCACTTCCATTTGCTTGCTATCCATTGCTATCCCATCTATCCCCTGGTCTTGCACATAGCCTATGGATCCTATGGTTAGGGAGTGATGCCATGCGTTGTTCGCTTGCCGGGCCCAAAACCAGAAGAACCCTGAACCCTGAAACATTGCTGTTGGATCAACTTGGGTTGCAAAGCTGGTAATGTGATGTCTTGTGTGCATTGATGGATCTCCAGTTTCTCGATTGCAGTGTGCGGGGGCATCATATCCTGTGTATATATATATAATTATATAATATCTCCGTGTGTGTGTGAACCATTTGAATAGATGTAAAACTTCTACTCGTTTAGTTGCAGGGGGCCACGGCTCCATTCATCAGTCCGTGGCCAACGAAGCTACTGATGTTTGGAGAAGATATGCAGTCTGATCAACTGCACGTACCTGCACTGTTCCAATTCCATTTTATCGTCAATGGCAACCGGCTAAGCCCAGAACCGGCATGTCGCAATTTGCATTTCTCAGTTGTCACTAGAGGGATCCTTCATCTAGCACTGGGCATGGCATACCTTTTCGAAATTTCTCAGGTCTTCTCACCGACCCATTCCTGTCAGGTGTAATTGGAGTGTTTTTGCACGTAAGATACATTCCACATCAGAATTCGCAAAGATTGTTCTGAGCAAGTGTGTGATTAATGCTGGATTCGTCACGGTGGCATGAACCCCTCGGGGAATGCTTGTCTAAGCAGGAGAGCGAAGTAACGACTTGATCTCTGAATTACATTTTTCAAACTAGTAATTCGTCTAGGTAAAGTGAAACAGTCGGCCTTACTTCAACTTTCACCCATCGGTCGGGTGAGCGTTGAAACAGCTGGCCGCCGTGTGGCCTCATTTTTTCAGTGATCTTGAAAGATTGTGGTCTGCATAGCTTGAAGCCGCGACAACAGTTTCCTTTTCAAGAGAATACAGTGCTCAACAACTTGCATCATGTCACATGATCAGGTGAGGCTTCAGGTCATGTCTTTAGGTGTGGTCCTTCTTTCTTTTGATGGTTGTTGGTACGGTTCAAATGTGCACGTAATTCAGGGGTTGACCACTTCAGCCGTTTATAGGGTTGTGACTTGACCACGGGGGGCCTCTGAGCCTTATCTCGATCCTTGCATGCAGTGTGGATGTATCATGTTTTAACTGTTGACTTGTGATCTTCAATTTTCGCCTGACTCTCCTAATTGTGCCATGTTCCCTGGTCATTGGCCAAACTATCCTGGGTCGATGTGGAACTTCGGCTGGTCCGCACCAGCCCCTACAGGACAGTTTTGTGGAAGTGATCCATCATACAAACAGTCCCAAGCTCAGGTTCAGGCACAAATTACGGCACTTCAACAGCAGAATGCGCTGTTGAACCAACAACTCCACAATCAATCTCAGACTCACATCAATCACCTCCAACAACTTCTTCCTCATCACCAAGCCCAACAACAACCGACAACTACTCCACCTTCAGTGCAAACACCACCAGCAACACCGGTGCCAATTGCACCTGAACCACCGATTCCGCAGGTGGCCACACCAAGTCCACCGGCTCCTCCTGTACCATTTAATCCTGATGAGATGCTGCAACAAATGAAGACAACCTTCGAAGCAAGCTACAACCTTCGAGAAAACTCAAGATCGTCAATCTCACCACAATCTCACCACAATCTCACCACAATCTCACCACAATCTCACCACAATCTTCACCCTTCTCAGCCACCTCAGCCACTCAGCCACTCAGCCACTTAGCCACTCAGCCACTCAGCCACCCAGCCACTCAGTCACTCAGTCACCCAGCCACTCAGTCACTCAGTCACTCAGTCACTCAGTTACTCAGCCACCCAGCCACTCAGTCACCCAGCCACTCAGCCACCCAGCCACTCAGCCACTCAACCACGCAGATACCCAGTCACCCAGTCACTCATCCACATAGCCACTCAGCCACTCAGCCACTCAGTCACTCAGCCATTCAATCACTCAGTTACTCAGCCAGCCACGCAGTCACTCAGTCACTCAGTCACTCAGTCCCTCTCAGCCACTCAGTCACTCAGTCACTCAGCCACTCAGCCACTCAGCCACCCAGCCACTCAGTCACTCAGTCACTCAGTCACTCAGCCACTCAGTCACTCAGTCACTCAGCCAGTCAGCCGCCCAGCCACTCAGTCATCAGCAACTCCCCCACTCCCACTCAGCCACTCAGTCACTCAGTCACTCAGCCACTCAGCCACTCAGCCACTCAGTCACTGAGTCACTGAGTCACTCAGTCACTCAGCCACTCACTCAGCCATTCAGCCACTCAGCCACTCACCCACTCCGTCACTCAGCCATTCATTCACTCACTCAGCCACTCAGTCACTCAGCCACTCAGCCACTCAGCCACTCCAATCGGAGTTGTCCCAGAATCATCTTGCCATTACGGCAACCAATTTGGCCCAACATGCTCGATGTGGTGAACATGACGACATCTCCGACATCTCGGACTAGGTCCCCGTCATCCCTGACCTCGACTTCTGATTTCAGGTAGATTGTTGCTACCACTTGCAGTTAATTCTTGTCTCTGGCATTTTGATCGTCTGATCCGAGACGAGTTGACCGTATCAGAGCTTTGTTTCGATCGACAATTCGCGTCTTGCAAAACGTGTGTGTGAACCATCTGAATAGATGTAAAACTTCTACTCGTTTAGTTGCAGGGGGCCACGGCTCCATTCATCAGTCCGTGGCCAACGAAGCTACTTATGTTTGGAGAAGATATGCAGTCTGATCAACTGCACGCACCTGCACTGTTCCAATTCCATTTTATCGTCAATGGCAACCGGCTAAGCCCGGAACCGGCATGTCGCAATTTGCATTTCTCAGTTGTCACTAGAGGGATCCTTCATCTAGCACTGGACATGGCATACCTTTTCGAAATTTCTCAGGTCTTCTCACCGACCCATTCCTGTCAGGTGTAATTGGAGTGTTTTTACACGTAAGATACATTCCACATCAGAATTCGCAAAAATTGTTCTGAGCAAGTGTGTGTCTGTGTGCGAACCATTTGAAATATTCGAAGAGATAGAAAAATTCTAACCTGTTGGAATTCCGGTATTCTGTTTTAGGTTTTGATTTCATTTCATTGCATTTCAGATTTGCAGGTGGGCAATCTCATGTTTGCAGCTGATTGCCCAACGAAGAGGGCTGCATTCATGACTGATATGACTCTGGGACGCTGGAGTCACGTACCTGCTTTTTCAATTCCATTTTTGCAGTCTTCATTTCATCGTGAATGGCAACCGGCTAAGCCCAGAACCGGCATGACGATCATTTGGGAATTCTCCAACATTTTCACTCTGGCAACAGCACTGGCTTTGGCGATGATAGCTCCGTAACCTTTCTCGGGTCTCCGGGTGTTGAAACCACAGCCGACTCTGACCGCTCTCGCTCGCCGTTGCCTTCTCGCAATCGACAAGAACAACCAGGGCAACGACAGGCATTGCCTTGCTTTCCCAGATGGTGTGGCCCCATGGGCTCCGCAGTCCGGTCCTTATCAATGCCAAGGCCTCAGAACGTAATTGAGCTAGACTATGCCTCAACCGTTTCCACCAACTCCACCGTCCATGCCTCCACCACCCATGTTCCCTGCCTCTCAAACCTCACTGTGTCCTCCGACGCAAGCTTGCTCACCTTCTCAGCCCGGTCCCATTTCAGCATCTCAATCCAAATCAACAGGCACCACTCGTCGCTCTCCTTCCAACTCTGGCACAACAGAAGCTCCCAGAGTTTATGGGTTTGACCTGGACGAAAATTGGCAGGGTGACCGAGAACACTATGACAACCAGAAGGTCAACGGCTTGACCTCTCCCGTGATCAAGTCTTCAGCCTTCACTCAAAAGCTAGACATTGAAGGTTGTGATCCCCTTGCTCTACCAGTGGCAGCTCCACCAACAGGCCAACAATCATTGGCTTCGAAAACTAGCCCATGGGAGAGGGTTGTATCTCATCCCTACGGGGGATATCGCAGCCGTGGTGTTTGCGGCGGAATTCTTCTTTCAGTTGAGGAATAGAGGGATCGACCTTCGACCGCGTCTCCCAGGATTCCCAGGTCAGGGCCAGACAGGATGGAAAGACATTGGACAAAACCTCAAACACCAAATTTGCGGCACAGCTCATTGCAGAGCACGTTCAAGGATGGCTTCCACTTTGTTCCATCGACCCAGATTCCCAGCACAAAATCACTCGCTTCCGAAGTCGGTTGGCAGAATTACGCCAACAACTCGGAGACGACCCTTCAGAGATGTAACCACTCATCTGCATCCTATGGTCAGTCCTCTAAGCACACCTGCCATCCTTGAGAATCCACGCTCAAAACGCCATGACACCACTATCTTTGTGGAAAGGCTTCAAAACCGCTCCTCTTCGTCCGTGGTGCCAACCTCGAACCCACCGACCCTGACTCCAGCAGTACCAAATCCGGAAGCCCGTCCAAAGAAAAGCTCAAGACGTTGTGTCCCTCCTCCTCCAGAAAGTGTACCCACTGGGACAGGGACTCCTCTGGTCACGCTGTTGGCTCTGCAGAAGAACACGATGATTCTGCTACAGACCATGGTCTTCCTATTAATCGTTCTTCAACCTCGGCAACTGCTCCAGCTCCTACCCCTGCTGACCCTATTGGCCCTCTTCGTGAACCGGATCATGAACCACCTGTGCCACATCCTGTGATCAACATAGATGACAATGAATTCATCGGCCACAAGCTCGACACCCGATCTCGCCCTTCATGGAAGACGATTGGTCAACGCATGCGTCGCACTGCCGGCTCATGCAAAGCTCGTTGGCAATGGTTGAAAAACACCAGACCTGATTTGTTGACTCGTGCCGACAATAATGCCGAGACTAGATTTTTTACCTATCGGAAAAGCCTTCTGCTGCTCCACGCTTCAGTTTCATGTGTTTCCCTCCTTTTTGACTCTGCTCTCCTGTTTTTGTGCATTTACCACTCTGTGACTGTTGGCTCTTAGGGCATTTTCCTCACTTCGCACTTCCCCCCTCTATCGGCTATGGCTCGCTCCCGATCTCGTACCCGTCGTGCTCTTCACAATTCTGCCCATGATGACTTCTCTGGCATGCCTTCGGTTCCGGATACCACCCCTACGATTGGACGACTTCGACGCGTTTTGGTCATCATTGACTTCAGTGACGTACGTCATGTTGCAGAAGAACTTTGCCATTCAGGTGACTCGCTGTAATCTTCTTGCTGTACTGACTGGTCCTGGAACGGGGGAAACAGCTCTTTTTACGTTTTCCAGGCTCATCCCTGTGTCCAAGCTTCTTCGTGTGACGCTGGAAGATTTCATCTCCAATGTTAGTGACCACATCTCGGTAACCTGGGATGTTCAGATCGACCCTGACAAGTTGGATCTTCGATGGCACGATAGCTCGGGTGACACTTTCGTCCTGCGCAACACCAACCTCTGTCACTTACTTCATATGCATCGACCTCAATGGTGTCAACATCAGGACACGGGCAATTTGTTTCCTCCCAGACCTTTCGCTGATTTCAACGAGCTGTGCATCATGCGCCCTATCTTGCCATAGAGCCCTTCCCGCTGGATATTTACCATATGGAATGTTTGACAGGCTTTAAATTCCGAGCACTCATGTCCTCCTTCAATTTCCTTTCTAATTTTTCTTGTTGCCGTGCTGTTGTTTGGTTTGTCTCCAGGTAATTTCAAGTTCTGCTTTTTTTCCAGCTCTCAAATATGACACAACGTGATTCCGCCACCGCCAGTCTAGCTTCCCCGCGGGATCTTCGCATGGCTTCGGAGCACGAGACGGATGTGCCTATGACCCTGATCACGGGCCCCACTCACCCTCACCCGGCTTCCGGATATACCAGTCATTCGGTACCAATCCCTATGCCGCTCTCCTCTAGCTCCTCCACACCAAATTTCCAGACTTTGCCCCTCTCCCACCGTCTCAGTGGCGCCAAAGAATCGTCCATACCCACACCTTCAAGATCTATGAGTATGGCACAATGGGCCCGCAGACTTGGTGGTGGAAGAGCTTGACTCGTCGGGTCATTCTCGTGGCAGGTCTTTGGATTACTTCTTCAGTGGAATCGCGGGCCATGTGCGAGATTGACAGGGAAATCAACTGGACAGCTGGGACCAAGCCGCCTAGTTGGCCAATTATTGGCGCGGTTATCCTGAAGATTCCCATCCATACCATGATTACAATCCTGATGATGGGGCTGAACCAACGGAAGTGACCCCTTTGCCTTCCCAGTCAAATCCTGCAATCCTCATCACTCAGCTTGCCTGGCTATTACACAGTATTTTGTCCCAGGACCCTGCAGGCAACGAGTCCATTTTATCGGCCTTGAACACGGCATCACCGGTCTCGCCAGACCTGTCACCTTTGAGTTCTGAGTCTCTGAACCATGATGGTTTCGCCCACCTGGCAGCACACCTGGCAATCCTGGCGAACGTTCTTGCCCAAGATCGTGCAGCGTCTTCTGAAATTCCCGATGACAACAGCACATAGATCATGCCTTTTTCCTCCTTGAAGGCCATCATTTGCGCTGAATTGGCATTTCGATCATTTTGATCCGTGTCCAGCTGTGCATCTCCCAAAAAAAGCCCCGTGGCAGCGGGGCGTGCGTGTGTGAACCACCTGAAGAGATGTAAAACTTCTAACCTGTTGGAATTCCGGTATTCTGTTTTAGGTTTGGGTTTAGATTTGCGGCAATCTCATGTTTGCAGCTGACTGCCCAGCGAAGAGGGCTGCATCCATGACTGATATGACTCTAGGACGCTGGAGTCACGTACGACGTACCTGCTTTTCAATTCCATTTTTGCAGTCTTCATGTCATCGTGAATGGCAACCGGCTAAGCCCAGAACCGACCGTGACGATCGTTTGGGAATTCTCCAACGTTTTCCATTTTTGGCAACAACATTGGCTTTGGCGATGATAGCGCCGTAACCTTTCTCGGGTCTCTTCACCGACCCATTCCTGTCAGGTGTAATGGAAGTGTTTTTACACGTGCTCCGCAACAGAATTCGCGATGACAGTTCTGAGCAAGTGTGTGTGTGTGAGTGTGTGTGTGTGTGCGGTGTTTGTGTGTTTGTGTGTGCGTGGCACGTGGGAGTTCTGCAGGCCAGTGGCAAGATTCGAACGTACGTGGCTGAGAAACTGACAGTGCCCAGATGATTCCAGATGTGCATCCATTGAGAATTCTCTCATGACTTTTATAAGGTTCTAAAATGTTCTAAAGGTTTTTTCATGCCGAGGTGCTTTAATTCCACAGTTGTGCGAGTTCAGATTTAGATGTGCATGGCTGCGTCCCCATCCAGTGCTCAGAATAGCCAAGGATTTGGCTCGAAGACCTTCGAACACCAGGGGAGCGCTGAAAAACGCACATTGAGAAATCAGGGCAACTCCGATCCACCGTCTATATCCGTCTATCGCGTCCAATGTTTCCTCCCATTACCAGTTTACGATCAGCAGAAAGATTTGCACACAGCATCTTTCAACTCGGTTTACTATGTTTACGTCCTTCAGTTTGCCACCCTCTACAGGGTGCGACGCAGTGCAACGCAGTTTCTCCATGTTGATACTCTGTAGGACCTATAGGAGATTGTGTTGAAACCACGCCACCAGAGGAGCGGGGCGAAGAGGAGAAAACTTTCATTGATGAATTGAAACAGTGTCTTTTCAGCAATGGAACCAGTGTTCCATCAGTGTTCCATGTATCACGGGCAGAGGACTGCAGAAATGAAGCGAGAACCATGTTGAACCACGCAGCAAGGTTTGTAACTACTCTCATGGGACACCACTGCACACACCTCACTCCAAAACCGTAGGATGACTGAATATCGTTGACCTCTGAGATGGTGATAGTATAGTGTAACTATTGTTTTCAACTTTTGTTCTACGGGAATTCGAACGTGCCAATGTAATCTAAGACTATACGAGACCTAGCCAGAAGGAAGTGGATCGAACGTGATGGAACTATTGTGGAAATGAGGTTCTGGAAGTTGGACAACGTTACAGTGGTGAGCCTGGAGCCTGGAGCACTTTGACAATTGAAGGAGGCAGCAAAACTCATGGGAGACCAATGCTGCAACCTGCAACATGCCAGAAGAAATATAGAAACAAACCTGGAAGATCCTGGAAGAGAAAGAAACTTTAAACTCCACAGAAGAAGCCTTGCATCAACGCACGGTAACTAGATGATGATGTGAAATGATGTGAAGGCGATGAAATGATTATGCTACGATCTCGAGGTTTGGCGCTAGTCGTGTACACCTTCTTCAAGGAGTCAGTTCTGTCATACTCCGGAGACAGGTTGTATCTCTTGAGGATCGTCTATATAGGCCTTGGGTGGCCTTGGTGCCCAATAGAAGCAACAGCAGTGGCCATCGAATAGAGGTAGTGGTAGGGTGAGAGGAGTATTATATATACAGACATAGATATCACATGATATCACAATGTCCCCGTCATGAGCCTCACTAGCCCTCACGAGCCCTCAAGAGCCTTCATGAGTTCTCAGTTCTCATGAGCCGATTGGCTGAGCAGGAGCTGCTGCCACTCTTCCTGGAAGGTGTGAAGAACCCGCTGCAAGACTTGCCTTGGCAGCCAGGTCCCATCGACCAGTTTCCGCCTTCTCCGATTTAAACCGTATTTTCAGACCGCTCAAGTACGAAAGGTCCAACAACAGAGTGGCATGGAAGATTACGGGAGTGACTTTGTTTTGAAGATCCATACCATGAATATCTATCTATATATCTATCTGTCTGTCTGTCTGTCTATCCATCCATCCATCCATCCATCCATCCATCCCCAGCATTCTATCCATCCTAACCCCTACCGAATGTTTGGATATATTTGCAGTACTTGCAGTTGCCACTGGACCATTTGCTTGTGAAGATGGCCTCAAGATACACGCCAACGCCGAAGCTGCGGTGTCATCAAAAAGGCAAGTGTGGTAATTTTTGGTGGTTCTGCCCTTCACACCTATCATATGCTCATGGCAAAAGAAAGGCGTAGCAACATGGCCCACAAGATTAGTCATAACTGCATTGAAGCGTTCAATTTTTGGGGTATTGACATGTAAATCAATGTAATTCTTTTGAGCAATCTTTATATTTGTCGTGTTTGAACCCATTTGGCACCATCAAGATCCGTTCTGGGACTCAATGTGGCCAAAGTCGTGCTGAGAATCGGGTGATCTGAGGAAACAACAGGTCAGTCCAGTCAGTCCAGTCAGTCCACTCAGTCCACGCCCCTGATGGATCTGTATGGATCCGTATGCTATCTATGCTCCCGCTGGTGGACTCAAGAGATGTCAAGAGATGTCAAGAGATGAAGTACTAACAAAAACAAGACCCTACCAGAGAATGAGTTTGGCGAAAACATATCGCGGAGAGCAGATTAATGCAGCAGGTTGACTTGTATCATCTTGTATCAACGCAGGTTTGGTCCAACAAACTGGAGCCGAACTTCGTGACCATTGTTGCAAAACCGCCAGCTATTTAGATATTTCCTTTTTTTTTTACTCGGCCACCTGCTGTGACAGAAAGTTCCCTGTGGCAGCAAGCACGTAGAGCGGGTAGAGAGGTTTGCCCAAGCCGTTTTGACAGTCCCAATGGGAGCCGCCTTGAGGCACGATTGCTTGTGCTCCGGCATGTTGGACAGGAGGTTTGCCTTTTTGCTCCGGCAGACCCGAAGACCTTTGCTGGTGTGGTGGTAAACCCTCAAAGCCATTTCAAAACCCCTGGACTTGAACATGTACAGGAGTCACCATGACGCAGTGGGATGTTCGTTTTCCCCAGAACACGTTCAGGTGCAGTCCGGAATGAACATTGATCCATTGACCTGAACCTTTGGAACCTTTTGATATTGTCACGGTTTGTCCAGATGTGTCAAGATGTGTCGAGCTTGATGATTCGGCCTTCCCCGCCCGCTCCAAGGGGCTTTGGCTTAGGCTCAGACAGGTGAAGGCTACACGGCATCGGCATCGCGTCAAGGCCACATGGTCCACATGGCTCGTCTCGTCCTTGCGCTGGTTCTGGCTGTGGCCGATGCGAAGGCCAACGCCACGGACAACGCCACGAACGCCACGGACGCCACGGCCACGGTGCTTAACCAAGGTCTCAAGGTACGGAGCATGTCAAGCAGCATGTCAAGGCCAGTGACGATTCTTCACATCAGCGACACGCACAGCATGCATCGTTCCACTGGAAACTTGCCAGATGCGGTGTCTTGTTCGCAAGCTTCTTGTGCCCTGCGTTGTTGGTTGTTGGGATGTAGAAATAATTGACATCAACCCTTCTTCGACATGTCACTACTGCTTGGGAATAGTCCATTTCTATCAGAGCCATGGCAGAGCTCAGGATATTTTTATTCACTCTGGTGATGTGGCCAAAGTCGGCAGTGACAGTGAGCTGGGCGATTTCAATCATTGGCTCGGCACTATCAAACACAAGTACCAACACATGCTGATCATCTCTGGCAGCTTGGTGGGATGTGGAAGGCAAGCTAGTAGCAGCTAGAGGCTTCTATGATAGAATGAGATCCACGATGATGATCGATGATACACTGATACAGTCACTGATACACATCGCTTTGGAGTAATGAAGTCAGCATCATCACTGCACACATGCGCACCGCACCGCGCACGCGCGCACACACACACCATATACATGGTCTATGTGGATCCATATAGATTTTGGTATATTTGGGTATAGATATGTGACTGCAGAGCCTAGACATTTGTATTGTTGCAGTGGAACAAGCTCGGCATAATCAGAACGTGTCATCAAATGGTGAGAGTCCATAGGCTGGTGATAGACAAAGGCAAGGAAAGAACAAGTTCATCTCACTCTCAGAGTTGTGAAGTGTGTTATCCCCCAGCCATGCCCAGGCAACCATGATTATTGGGACACCAACTGGCGCATGAATCGTGGCTGGCTGTCCGCATCTGAAGCTCACAGCCCAAATTATTTTCAGAGATTCTTGGCATTCTTTGGCTTTGGTACTTGGAATGTTTGGATATAAATGATATAAAGCATATTCTTGAATAGAGCAAATATCATGAAATCTATGCGTATACATATGTTGCACACACACACACGTATATAATCACATATATACATATGAATAGTGGACATTAGTAAATATTATATATAGGATTGCGGTGACAAATTTGGGAGAACTGTTTGTGCCATTTCCTGCCATCCGCGCAACAACGAAGCCCTGCATGGGGCCTTCTCCCACTGAGGCAAGATCACCAATGCCAAAGTCCTGAATCACGAGATGGCTGAGGCAGGCTCCTTCGCTGTCCTGGCAAGCTTAATGTTTCAAGATGAATGGCAGGCACATCAACAACCTGTTGTAGGAAGATATGGCAACAGATAATATATGGTAATCGATCTAAAGGTCCATGAAAGGAGTTTTAATTGCGAAAGCCGTGCATGTTATGTTGGAAACCCTCGCGAAAGTTATTTTTTCGAGTTCGCGAAAGAAAAAAATATTTCGCGAAAGTTTCGCGAAAGTTGGATGTTAAGGGCTACCACCTCCTGCCGCCCGGGGTCCGGCAGGAGAATGGCACCGCTCCATAGGTAGCAGCCAAGCTTCCGAAGGTGAGCCAAATACCATGGTCTTGACGCACCTCCTTGCACCTGCTGCTGGTACTGCTTAACGTTACTTTAACGTTGCTTTCTGAAGTCTCAAGAAACAAATTCCAAATGCAGCAGCCAAGCTTCCAAAAGCGAGACTTTGCGAGAGCCAAACACCAAGGCCACTGGTGTTTGCTTTTCCTCTGATGTGCCCCCTGCTGATGGCTGGGGTCTGCGGATAGGGGTATTTTCGCGAAAGTTCCGCGAAAGTTCTGCGAAAGAGTGGGCGAAAGTCAAAGTGCATTTTGAAGGGAGTGGCCCAGTAAGCCTTGCAAAAAATTGCCTAATCAGCAACAACTTGTCCTGAGAAGGGGATTCCGTGATGCTAGCTGCATGTTTACAAGGCTGTGAAGAAGTTATCCGTGATAATTTTGTGTGATTTGGCAGGTGACGAACGAATCTTCATAAGAGGAGTTGTTGCTCAACATGTGTTCCGCGAAAGATAAACATGGAGTTCGCGAAAGATTCGCGAAAGAACTTTTTTTTATTCGCGCAGAATGGCCGTTCCCGGATCAAGGAATCTTGATCAACAACCATATATCATATATATATATAATCAATTAAAATGATGCAAATAATTGATGAGTATCAAGATTCAGTATGATACAGAATCTTAAGATAACTTAGGATTCACGCCGCGTAGCACAAATCCCTGGCGGCCACCTCCGGGAGCAATAGGTGATGGGCCTCAAGATTTGGGGCGCTGGATGGCATCCTCGTCGTGGGGATTCCAGGTCCGGAAACAACTATGCCGACATTCCGGCAGGCGCCAAGCCGCAGTGGAGTCTAAAAAGATGCTAGAAGTATCGCTAAGTATACTATGCATGCAGCTTGCTGGGTCCGTTTTTCTTGACTCAACTTCGCCTGCAGGGGTTGTGTTTGCCTCCTTCCAAAGGAGAAACCTTTAGCTCAACTATCAGCATGCGCTGAGAATATTCTCATTATGTTTGATTTACCCTCGCACAATCGTGCCTCACATAACTCAATGTCTGTGAAATTTGCAACCCTACAGCCATTTGGCACAGCTTGGATTTGCATGGGACCAAGTCGCAAGACTTTCAAGACACACTGCTTGACCAGGTATCGACATTTTGGTCACGCATGAAGCTCCCTTTGGCATTTTTGACATGCCACTCGGCAAAACCCCAGGGATCTCGGGAGTTCTTAATTACTTCTCGGTTTGCATTTGGTTGTATCATCCAAAGCCTCTTTCAAATGTTAAGCCTATATCGGCAGTATCAGAAGAATATCGGGCCCACCTAGTGTTGAAATATCGGGTTGAGGTCGAGGTTGATCAGAAAAAAAAACATATATCCGACACCTCCCTCCTTTCAACACATGGATTCGAACTCGGCCGGGGTTTTGAAGGTTATGTATAATGTTCGCTGAAAATAGAACATAATTAGAAAAACGTATAGAAATCATATATAGACTCAACATGCTCATAGCCCTTGTTATTTATAACGTTTCAAAAATTCACAACCTGTTTAGTTCTGCTGCGCCCTGCCATCCGGGCCGCAGGACCGGTGGTGGACACTGGGGCTCCAGCCATGAGCTCCTCGGTGCTATCTACCGCGCCAAGCCCAAGGCCCATGTCATGACAGGCATTTCATGGGGATTATACTTTTTGAGAACGATTTATATTCTATCTTATTAGATCATATTATATTTTACTATATTTTGTTAATATATAGCCTATATAGCTATACATTTATAATATTTATAATTTATAATAATCTAAAATGAGGATATCATGATATTGGATATGCTAAGTTCATAAAAGGGTATATATATATATATAAACACATATATATTTAAATCCAAAGTGTCAGCAATTGTTCGAAATATGACAGTATCCACACTGAGATGGCATTAGAGTGCTCAAAGACAATATTGGAAACAACATTTGGGGCAATCACACATCACCAAGCTGACACCCGATGTACAGATGTACAGGACTTGCAGGGTCTTTTTTGGATGTTGACATCTGCACTTTGGGTTGTGCCATGTCGTCCCCATATTTGGGTTCTCCTTGAAAATGGTGATGTTCTGATAGCCAAGAGCATGGCAATTTATGACAATTTGTCGGCGCATTTGTGGAACATCAGGGTAATCAAGCATGCCGCAGGTGCATCTTTTTGGCCACATCCATGAGCAACGGGGACACTGGGACAGGACTATTTTGCCTGGCGAACAGGGAGATGCGGCCAGTTTCCCTCTTATCAATGAACCAGTGAGGGCTGACTTTAAGCACCCAGATCCCGGCCAGATCCACGCGAAAGCATTCTGGCAGGAAAGACATGTCTGTCTGGAAGTTGCTGCATAGAATAGGGCCGCCCGAGTCAACTTGTTTTCGAAGTTTGGCGCAGGAACAACGACCATTTTGAGGGCGGCGTGGAGTATCGTCCCAGTCCCCACACCGGACAAGTGTTCCGCCCAAATGGGCCACCAGCCCAAAACTACCCAGTGGAGGCTCCTGAGCCGTGTTGGCTTTTTGGGGACAGCATCTCATTTTTTTAAAGCAACAACGCAGTGCTTGTGCCATCTTGTGCCTTTTTCTTTGCGAGAGGATCATCGCTCTGACTGCTGTGATTTCCAGGTGGAATCAAACAACGCCATGGCAAACCAGCCAGCAGCTTGTCAAAGTCTTCTGTGGTCGGTGGGTGGTTCCTGAAATTTCCTGAAGCTTCCGCCATTTCATGCCATTTAAGTCCTGGGGCGGGCCAGGACACACACACACACTGCTGATACAGGGCTATTTCTAGTGAACGCTGTCTCTGTACACATTTCCTTGTTTGCACATGCATGCACACAGGCGTGCGCACAGGCGTGCGCACAGGCGTGCACACAGGCGTGCGCACAGACATATAGACATAGATCGCAGACATATTTGCTGTGTTTTGTTGTTCGCAAACTTTACCGAGCTCGTTGTGCAAGGCAGTCGACCACAGCTGGACCGGAGTTTGGGCACCACAGCATATCGTGGGACGCGCCCGCCTCATCATTGCCAAGAAGGAAGGTCGGAAAATCAAGCCATCACAGACTGGCGCCATGTATACCGATGCGATTTTTGTAGATAGTATGTAAATGTATGTAACAATATGTAACCGTATCTATGTATCATTCTTGGCACAGAGGTACGGTATGGCTTTTCTTCTTCAGATCATAGCTTGATCAACCTTGATCATCTTTCTTCATGATCTTCAAGCGACCTGAGCCCTTCCCGGTGGCAGACATGAACTAATTCATGGCAAATCTTGTACGTTTAGTTTGTCATATTTTAAAGGGTTGGACAAGACAGTTCCTTCTGTTGGGGTCATGCCCTTTCGCGCTAGAAGTCAATGCAACTTGCTTGATGAGCAGGTGACGCCTGGCATTTTACATCATCTGTGCCTTAGAGTTCTTCCACGCATGGATTTTGACAGATCACTGGCTTGATCTGCTAATTTGATCGTTTTCCCATGGCACAAAAGTGGCCTAGGCAGGGCTCCATACCAAAGCCTGCTGGTATCTCCTGGTGCTTTCAAAGCATTTCCAAACTTGCAATCAGATTCGGCACGTGATGCTTGCAGATTCTGTACCAAATAATTACCAGATTTAGGCTCAAACATATGGAGCCCTGACTCTAGACTGAAAAACATATTTTTTGGGCGGTGCCTTGTGGTATGCACAAAGCGCTGCCAAATTGGATGCACGGACCGGATCGTTGAGTCTCTAGACGCTGAGGATCACGATCACAGGGGCTTGCTGGTACAGTTGAGCCACATCCGGCATCAAAGGGTCGCCGGGTCGGAATCAGAGCTGTCAGCAGAAGCTGGCAAAAAAAAGAAAGACTTGACGTTTGGGTAGGCCGCAGGGTTCAAGAGGTCCAACATGAGTTCTAAGAGGTGGATTTTTGCATTATCTTTGTATTCAGGCGACCCTCCTACACACTTTTCTGGTGGTGGCAGTTAGATTTGTATTTCCAGTTTTTCCTTCTGTTTCCTTACCCATAACTATTTGTCATCTGGTGTGTATTGCACCGATTGCTCTTCTACCTCGTCCACTGCTCATTCCTTATTCAATCTACAGGTGAAAGCCTTGAGTTTGGGTCCGTCATCATCAAGTTAGTATATATACAGTATGTATATAATTACTGTATATACATATATAATAATATAGACAATGCTTGCAGAGCACAATGAGCACATCATAATATGAAAAAGAGCAGCCCTCCGTGAGTTCCGTTCCGCGTCGGCTGTCGTTCGCCAGCAGGCGGGAGATCAATGCTTGTGAGCACTGCCGCACACTCTCCAGAACGGCCGCTCAAACAGATTCAGCAACGTTACAGAGACTGCTTTACCCAAAAGCAGTCTTATATTGCGATATATTGTGATTGTTGTATTCGGAACAGTTTGGAATGGCACTTTCTGATGGTGCTGGTGCAGCATGGTGCAACCTTGCCACATTTGTATCTGCAGAGGTGGCCCTTGAACCGCACCGCTTCAAGCGATCAGGTTGAACGCCTCAAGACTCTCCCAACTTGGCCGTGAAAGCCTTTGGGAGGAGGCCACCGGCTGGACTCTGTTGAACATGGTTGTTTTTTTTTACATGTTTTACTTGTTGTGCATGTTAACAAAATTTGTGCAAGTAGTCACTGGTCGAAACAGGATGTAACCAGTCCTTCCATGGCGGTTCTGTCCGTATTGCGATTCGCCATTGTCTGTAATGCCAGGTGCTTGTTGCGCTCGACCGCTTGCCTCCGAAGCAGGTAGGGAAGCCCATCCTCACAGTTTTACGTTTGATCGCTGATCTGTACAGTACCCCTTACTGTACATTTACATTTGCAACAACTTGCTGCTGTTCCAGGGTGTCTCCTCCAACGAGAACGACTTTGGGTGGGTAATTATAGCTCATTGCCTTGCGTCACCACCCTCAAATGATGTGCAATATTATTCATTTTGTCAATTTGAGAAGTGCATTCCTTTCCTGCCTTCTTGTTGAGAAATTCCGCTGTCGCGCAGCATTTGCTTTCAAAGACAGTGATTTGGGGTCTCCAGGGCAACCCGCTCTTGACAGAAGTTCTTAGCATGTGGGTCCACGTGGCAGCTTGCCTTTTGACCTTTGCAGTGGCTACAGAGTCGGAAGTGGAGCCATGTGAAAGACCAGCCATGCTGCGGGCAGTGAAAGACATGGCACCCTTGTGCATCGAAGCTTGCCCGGCCATTTGTCCCAAGTTGAACGGTCTCATCATGACGGCATTGATGGGCATTGACCCCACGTCACAGGCCCGGCCCCTGGCTGCTCCTCCATGCCACAGCAAGTCATGCTAGCCGCAAGAATCGAACATGCGCACACGCACACACACATACTAAGACACATTCTCGTGGAGATATGCAGAAACATGCAAATAAAGCAAATGCATGGACAGCTATCCATCTACACACACATATATAAAAAATAATCATAAGCATAATCCTTCACTTCACTTCACTCGCAGCGGACGGATCCATCAATCCAAGCCGAGCAGAGGGCCTCTTCAGACCCCGGCGATACTAAGCACAAGACTGGCTGGCACGCGGGAGTTCAGAAAGAAAAGTGAGCCCACCCATTTTGCGGTGTCTCATCAAAATCAACAGGCACGGCTTCACTCCCTTTCCTCTCACTGGCCTCAAAAGAGCTACTGCAAGGCATCTAACATCTCCTGGAGTTGTCTTTCGAGTCCTCCACGTGGTGCTTGCCCTGACTTCCTCTTTCCGCCAGTGGCCAACAAGGCTTTGTCAAGAGAGTCAAGTACGGGTTCGAAGCTTGCATGAGTGGCAAGGTGAAGTTTCATGGTCTTCTTGTCCCATGCCCACATGCACATGGAAAGCCAGCTCTGCAGCAGTCGAGCCGGCTTTTGTGATTGTCTCAAAATGCTGCTGCAACACTGTCTTGTCATCCTCTTTGGCAACATAGTCAACAGCAACTTCCACAATTGCTGCCCAAACGTGGGCATGCACCAGCCCCATCTCTTCAATCTTTCGCGAGTTCCCTTCTGCTGCCTTGGCTTTCTCCATGTGTGCTTTTGCTACGTCAAGACCAGCTGTGGCAAACACTTCATCTTGAGGAACCAAGTATGTCCTCAACACGGCTGCCTGCATTTCTCTAATTTCCAAACTGTTCTTCAGACATAGCTTGGCCATGACTTCCATCATTTTGGCAGCCTCCGTCTTCTCCTCTGCACGCCGAGCTTTGTAGGCCGGCTGCCCATCATGCACTGTGCTGAACCAAGCCATGCTTGTAACTACTGTGACTGTTAGCCAATGCTTGCTGCTTTCCCAGCAAACTTTAATGAAAATGTGAAACAATGCAGTCAAACAAGGATTCACGTGAAGCAACGTCATTGGTGCAGAAAGGACATTGTAGCAAAGGAGGTTCGATGACAGCAGTGGTAAAGGCACTGCCGCTGCCCCTACACAAGCCATGTTGAAGACGGCGCCTAATGTGTTGCTGAGTGACTCGGACACTTGCAAAAATGTTCTTGCACCATGGACACTGGTTGCAAATTGCAGCACGGACATGGTCATGAACTTTATTCATGGGTTCCTCCGTCCGCTCGCCGAATGTGCATAGCAAGGGCTCGAAAACTGGAAAAACTGGCGGTGCAAGCACTTCCATCATCATTAGTACAATCACATGTAAACTGGTGTGGTAAATCTGAACTTCCGCTAGGTGCTGCTTCCACTTCTCCCGGTACAGCTTCGCAGAACCCAGGAGGCGGTATGCAGACTCCAAAAAAATGAGCCCGGAGTTCACCACAATCCACTTGCACGAAATCATCTCGAAAATCTGTGAATGAAAGAAAAAATCTGTTTCCAATGCCGGCCAATCTGTCAGCTGCAGAATCCAGGGAAAGAAGCGACTGTAAGTCAGTCTCCAATTGTTTTGCCCACGCATTCGCATCCACATGCAGTGACCCAGCACTGTTGCAGATTCATCGTACCAGAGTTGTCTAAACTTTGCAGAAAAGGATCTCGCGCCACACTTTGCCAAAACTGTAGTCGCCGCACGCGAAGCTCCAGCTTGGCCGGTACGAATGACAAAAGTTTGCCAACATCACTGTCAGGGATGGCGTGGTATTTTGTGTGTCCATCCTCAACCACCACTTTTTTGCAGGTGGCTCCTCGCAAAACTTTTCTGGCGAATCTAAATATTGTTGCATCCACTTGTTGATAGTCTGCATCTGAAAGGCAGCATTGCGAACCATAGCAGAGAAAACAATTTTTGCAGCTGAAGTGGCATTCTGTCTTGCCCAAAACTTTCTCATAGCCATGAAACCAATTTCGGCAGCCCGTCGGGGGGCACGTATTTCCATGTCAAATCATGATCCTAATTGTAGTCGTAACTGCAATCATATCATATCATATCATATCATATCAAATCATATCATATCATATCATATCATATCATAATGACAGCCACAGCCACAATCACACCCGTAATGATTATATACATATAATATGTATCATGATCATTGTCATTGTCATTATCATCATCATTATCAATATCACCTCATCTCATATCATATAATATCTCACACGGACACACACGGACACACACGGACACACACGGACACACACGGAGACACACGGAGACACACGGAGACACACGGAGACACACACACGGACACACACGGACACACACGGACACACACGGACACACACGGACACACACGGACACACACACACGGAGACACACACGGAGACACACGGACACACCCGGAGACACACACGGAGACACACGGACACACACGGACACACACGGAGACACACACGGAGACACACGGACACACACGGAGACACACACGGAGACACACGGACACACACGGAGTAGGGGGTCCGATCCGAGGGTGTTCACATTCCATGCCACTCTCGCGAGGTGTGCGGTGCTTTTGATGTTTGGGTGTGCATGGATCAGCCAGCATGTACGCCGCTCCTGAGTGCTGCCCAGAGCTACGACCTCTTCCCAGTGCCGCAGAATGAAGCGGAACTCCGAGAGACATGCAACATGCCTCCTGCACCCACGACAGTAGCTTGTCTTCTGTTTCTGCATATATTTCTGCTAATCTGAAAAGATCTGAAAAGGATTTGGTCAACAGAATAATTCTGTTGCACAGGTTTCGGCCTTAAGGGTATTGCTTTTCTTCAGCTTGGATGTTGCACAGGCATAGCCATGGCTCAGTCGTACTGTTCATCATGGCATGGAGCCCATGAAATATGAGACCGCATCAGCACGCAGATACAGACAGAGTTTTCATAATTGACCTTGACAATGTGGACAATGAGGAACCGCAGGCTTCAGTTGCTGCGGTGCCAGAGGTTGTTGGCGTTGTGGCTAACTCCACCGAAACGACGCAGCAACCCTCAAGCAGTTCGACGTCCGAAACTTCAGTTAGGACTGAACTTCGTGAGGAACTTGAGGCAGCACTTTTAATTTATCAGCTTTACAGCTTTATAATATTTTGAAAAATTATATAGCTTGACTGATTTAAAGGATCATGGGCAGCATAAAAGTTGCTAAGGTATAGGTGTAGGTGTGTTAGAGGCTTGTTCAAGACAGGACATGGACAGTCACGGGAAGTTCAGAACCAAAACACCGAACCGAAGAATGGAGGAGCACGTCGAGCACGTCATCGCAGAACAGCGACAATGGCCAAGCTCTGCGGGGCAGCTCGAAGAATAAAGAGCGGGCGAGCGAACGAGCGAACTAGAGAGAGAGAGGGGGAGAGAGAGGGAGAGAGAGAGAGAGAGACCTAGAGAGAAAACCCATGGACATGCCTCGCATCCATGCTATGATTGCTGAACTACATGCGAAATCGGATGTGCCAGAGCAATGCCCCCCAAGAAAAGAGGTCAAAGATGCTTAGTTAGCATGTTCCCACCAACCGGGGCACTCGTTGTTGCAAATCGGTTTTCCACAATTTGTGCTCCAGTCGTTGTGGTGTGGGAAGTTTCAGTCTGCTTTGGCACCTTAGTGCTCAGGCACGAGCAGTACCACTGAAATGGGTAACGCGAGCGCCTTCTCCAACGATGCCGTGCTCTATGACTTCGCACATCGCCATGCTAGTCTAGAACCTTGGCATTGTTCTGCATGTTATGCATGTTCTGCATCTCTGTAGCTGCGTAGCATGCTGTGCCAGTCTGTTCTTCTTGGGATTTCTTGGCAATGGCCATTGTATTGTTTATTATTATTATTATTGTGTCATACGGAGTCATACCCCTCGGCAAGGATTGGCTTATCCTTTTCCTGGTGTGCGCTCTTGGACGACTCTGATCGACCCTGAGGGTAAAAAAACATTGTAGACAATTTCAGTGTGCAACTGGACTAGGGCTGTAAGGTTCAAAACTTTTACAGCAGAACATGTAAGGATATGTAAGGTCAGTTTTGTTGAGCTGGTGGCCTGATCTGGCCAGAACTCTCCAACTGCCAGCCTACTCAAACTGGATGAAATAGTCCATCCAGGTCTATTCAATGCCATGCAATGGTATCCGCGCGAACTTTGTGTATTCAATATTTGTTTGACCGGCGCAGCTTCACTGGACTGCTTTGAGAATTTTCTGAGAATATTTGAGTGGTTTGGCATGTCCAAATGTGTCCAAGCATCTAACGATGCTTGAACTCCTTGTGTCAAGCGATGTAAGTCGATGTCAATCGGATCACTGGGCGTCGGCTGCACAGGTTGCCGAGTCTGATCCGCATAGGCTGCTTCCCAGGAGCGGCTGGACAAGTCAGCGTGTCAAATGACAGGCTTTTTGAGTAAGCACCTACCTAAAGTTTTTCGAGATATCCTGGAGATGGGGAGAGAGGTGTTCCAGGCTGAGGATTTATAATTGCACATAATTGCACAATATTGCACATTTTGTTTTCAAGCTTGCGCCGTCGAAAGAGTAGGCAATGCAAGTAATTCTTTATTCTCGCTGTTTGTGATACCAATGCCACTGCATGCAGACGTATCACGATTCATAATAGGCCTGTCAATTTCAGTGTAAAGCCCACCGAAGCCGCTGCAGCGCACTCTAACAATGTGCCAAATACATGTGCCAAGAATTGATCTGGGTTGGTTGTTGGTTGGTTGATATTGGTGGATGACTGTTGATGTTGGTTAAATAATGTTGAAATGTTGAATATATTTGTTGAATATATGCCATGTGTATCCGTGTGTTGCGTCCATTGGAACATCTCCTCTTTAACTCTGGGGGTCCCAGGTCCTGCGCGGGCAGGACGGACGGATCCGCGTGATTCGATGTTTGCTCGGAGCCATGTCCCCGAGACGCGAACAAGGCCATGTTGAGAGGTGTTGCATCGGCGCACAGGCGGAAGCGACCAACATGGCGCGTCCGAATCGGATGCCGCAACCTCGACCTTTTGAATCAGCTTAGCCTTGAGAAGCGTGCGGCCAAGCCGTAATGATTTTGGAGGAACCTTGGATCCGCGTTATCTCCTTATTGGAATCCAGATGGGTGAGAGTCGATGAGAGTGTGACTCACAAGCACCCTGCATGGCTGACTTCGAGTGCATCGGGCAACTTTCCTAAGACTCAAGAGGCCCTAAAGAGGCCCTAGGTAACCCTAGGTAACCCTAGGGATGCCAGTTCCGACGGGCCACTTCTTTGAAGATCTTTGAAACCCGAATCGCTAACGCTCTGAACATGCCGTGATGGCCTTGGAGCAAAAGGAAGTGCAGACTGGTGCAAGCAGACCACATCAGACCACAACAGGCCCATGTACAGGATGTAAAGGATGTAAAGGGTGTAAAGGTTGGCGAGAATGTAGAGCTTCTCATGTTGGGTTGAACATGGTTGAACGGTTGAACCATGTAAACTTGAAAAGCTCCTTTCGAATCGGCCAATGTTGGACATGTTTTACTTGCGGTTGCTGTCGGGACATGAGGCACCCAATGTGGTCCTGTATACAGCTGCCGTTCATGCCCTATCGAATGGCCAGTCTCACGGCTTGAACGACTTCAAACAAATGGGCCAGGGATTTGCAACGGAGGAATTTAGGATCGACGAGTGCTGTTAGCTTAGTTTAGTTCAAAGCAAGACAGGACAAGACTCTCGAGGTCCTCACCTTTCTGGCATTCAACTTAGTGTAACAATGTGTAACATGTGTGACAGGAGGTGTCAAGAAGGACTTGGCTTCAGGGATGTTTCCGATCATTCTGCAGTCATTCTGCAGTCATTCTGCAGTCATTCTGCAGTCATTTGTTTGTTTCTGCCGCTTTCTGCCGGATCAGTTGGGGATTCTGCCCTCGCTTCAAGGCAAAGGCTGCGGGCGCTGCAGACCTTTGCACGACTGCGGCGGCGGCTGCGCAGCACCGCTACTGGGAAGCGCCTGGACGCCATGGCGTTTGGTGCTGCCATGGGCGCCTCTGACAGTTGGGTGACTCGGCTGTGCCATGCTGTGCCGGTCCTGCCTATGGCATCGTAGCTTGGGTGTTCAACCTGAATCTAGAGGTGCATAGAGGTGCTTCACGAATAATTACTGTAATTATATACTGGCTTGTCCAAAACCCCATTGGGATCTGTTGGGATCCATTAAGCACAATCATCAATGGCTTCATTGAACCCAAGTATGCTTGGCAGATTGTGAACAACTAGGACTACAATTTACGTTTTGATGCTTTTTTTGCTTTTTGTTTGCTTTTGTTATATTTTGTTTGCTTAGTTCAAGTTCACTTCATCCCTTTGAGGCCCGTGCACGTGCTTACCTTTGTGAGATGGGGGGCCTGACCATTGAAGTGGCGGCCATGTCCTTCAACTCGGCCTCGTGGCATGAAGTAGTGATCACAACATCTCACAACATCGCGGTGGTTTGTGGTCCACACACTGATCTTGGTTCACATATACGAATGAACCAGCATTATATATATATATATGTATTATACTATAATAGTATTATTTAAGGGAGGCCAAACACGATTGAAATTGGCTGATCGAAGAATCACTGGCTGCATTTTCTCAGGCTTTGAGTATTTTCCATGGTGCCTGGGCACCAGCGCTGCAGTGCCTGCGCTTGGCCATGGCATGGACGGTCAGATGCAATGAAGCCGGGAAGCCGCGATGAATCGTTTTTGAAAGTCAAGGGGTGAATCATGCTGTGACCCGTGCAACCATTGACCTTTTGCCTTCCCATTGCAACCATGGGCTCGAGGGCCCTTGAACCATATTTCCTTTGTGACACGCGCCGCCGACTGTGTGAAAATGGCAGCGTGTGCCTGCATTTGAGCCTTTGTGAGTTGGCACCGGAGCCTTCACTTCGGTTTGCTGGCTGACCATGCCGACGTGGAATAGTATGTCTCCACTATATGACTCTTGGCCAACAGACGGGGATATGTATGATCAATGGTCATTACATGAAGACCCGCATGAACCAGCTCAACCAGCAGACCCACTGATCCAGGATCCTCCTCATGACCCCCATGCAACTGTACCACCTGTTGTTTGGCGTTGTTTGAGATGTTCATCGGATGACTGGTATGGAAGTGACGATCACTGGTTTTGTAGCAGATGTGACTCAACGGATTTCTATCAAGTGACCCACTCCACGAAGAAAGTCACTCCTGAAGGGACATGGCTTTACCTTCCGCATCAGCAGCAAGGCCCAGCTCACTCTCGTAGGAGACGGCGTCGACGAGGCCAAGGTCCACCTTCTTCTGCAGATGGCTGGAGCGAACGTGGAGAAGAAGAAACAGCTACCTTTGATCCTTCAGTTGATCCAGATGTACCTCGCTCCCCAGTCCGACGTCCACCACCAACGACTCCTCAGGCACCGGTTCAGGCAACTTCGACTGCAGATCGAAAGCATGACAATTCCAGGTCCGAGTCGAGTGTTTGGGACATGAGAAATGGACCGGATAAGGGAGTACGATGGAAGTCAGGAGCACCACCTCTGCCCCCGGTTTGGAAGTATGATACAACAGACTTGAGGGCATACACAAAGTATACCAAGAAGGTCAGGATTTGGGAACTTCAAATGGCACCATATGCATGTAAGGCTGATCAGGCGCTGATGCTTTACAATTCACTCACTGGCGAGGCAGAACAGGAGTTGGAGCATGTGTCAATTGAAGATTTGTATACAGATTCTGGCATAGATACAATTCTCAACATGCTGAAATCCCCCATGGAGCAGAAGATGATTTATCAGAAACGGAAATTTCTGCACGAATTCGAGAACATGAGACGTTATGCAGGTGAGAATATGAGGGCATTCATCAACCGTTTCAGACGTTCTCAACGCAATTTGAAGTCTGTGGGAATTGATATCTCTGGAACATACGATACAGAAAGTTTGGGTGCAAGACTCCTTGACCGCAGTGGTCTTACTGCGGAACAGCAACGGATGATTTTGGTTGGTACGCAACAATCATTGCGTTTTGAAGCAGTTTCAGAAGCTATGGTTTTACAATTTCCAGATTTCCGTGGAGCCCCACCGATTGCTGGTCAGGGGAATGGAAAGGAAGGGAAATCAAAGGGAACACCTAAGGGTTCTCACCAGTCAAGTTCATCCACAGCATCAACAGCTTCCGGTTCGTCATCAGGTAAGGGTTATGGAACACCTCGCAAAGCCTGGTTTACCGAAACAGCAGACACATCGCCTCAGGACGATGACGAGCAAGAGCTTGAAGCGATTGAGGAGGAAGCAGATGAGCCCAATGACAATGAAGAGCACGGCGATGACGCCGACAATGACGATGATGATGATCCATCCAGCAGCCTTGCAGACCTTGCAGAAGTTCTCACTGTCACCGCGAAAAAGATCAGCGGTTTGACTCTGGCTCGGGGATGGAGTAAGCCCAAAACTGGAAACCCCAAAGACAAATCACGCTCAGTTGAAGACACCAAGAAGGTGACACACTGCACAGCATGTGGGGCCCGTGGACATTGGTACCAAGACCCAGAATGTCCTATGAATGCTAAGAAGTTCAACAAGTCGGCTTCCACATCTCAGGGTTCTTCACCACAACCTTCCACTTCATACAACATGACTAAGAATGACAAGGGCAAGGGCAAGCAGCATGCAGTTCGTTTTATTCACCATGATCATGGTTCCATGGATATTGTAGATGCCCCCAATGAGTATGGTGAAGCATTCGATACCTTTGTCGCGTCCCAGGTTTCAAAAGTGCCACATCAGATCAACGAGATCAAGTTTGCTGGCGCCGAGCAATTTGCAGGGTTCTTAGTCATTGACAGCAGATGTCAGAGGACCTGTTGTGGGAAGAAATGGTTTGACTCACATGTTTTGAAGTTGCAATCATTTGGAATGGCACCATATTGTTTTGCGGCCAACGACATGTTTCAGTTTGGAAAAGGGCAACCATCAACATCAACTACAAGAGCGTATTTACCCACTGGTATCAACGGTTTTTCAATGATTCTTGGAGCATCAATTTTGGAAGAGAATATTCCTTTGCTGGGTTCAAATTCATTGATGACACGTTTGGGAGCAATTTTGGATTTTGGAGCAGATTGGATCACATTTGAAGCAATTGGTATTCATGCAAAAGTTCATCGTATTGCAGGGCATTTAGCAGTGAGTATTTTGGATTTTCATGATCAGCAGGTTTCAGTCAACCCAATTTGGCAAGAGCTTGCAGCCGATGAATATTGGCATGATCCTGATCCAGAGCTTCTTTTGTCAAGTGCCCAACCGGAGCTTCAACATGTACCGCTCTCCACCGACATGGTTGGCAGCATGGAGAAGCATCGCCATGGCACTCATTGCATTCCCCAAGAACCTCATCTACCAGATCATGACCGCGATCAAGTTCAAGATTCTTCCAAGGAGTGTTTTGCAAGCACTTCCACCAGTGCTGACAATGCCCGACAAGATGGATCCCACAACATGCAAGCACGACTACACACGCAGGTACGGCAACACCCACGGGAGTTTCGCCAAGTGCCAGCAGTGCAACCAGGTCTTCAAGTGGAACAACAGCACAGGCCTGTGGGACCATCATGGGTCAAGAGGACACTCGTTGCCCTCGCGACAATTGCCACCACCATCTTCGGAGACAATATCAGTGCCAGCAGCCAAGCCAAAGATCCGTCCTTCATCTTCAGCCAGGACTTCCCCGACCTCGCACCGGAGGGAGTTCCCAGATCCCTTTCCACCGGGTCAACGACTTCCAGAACCATACCAATGGACCAACCCCCGGATACGATGTTCCAAGCTCCTCATCTGACCGACGAGCAGCAGATGGAAGTCTTCAACATCGTCAACCAAGAGGATCCAAGAATGGCGGAGGCGACCACCTGGGAGCAACAAGCGTTTCTCAACGAGGACGTCTTCCAGGAGGCCAGGGACGAGATTGCAAGGAGATCCGACCAGCGTCGACACGAACGCCTGATGGAGTTGGGCGTTCTACCGACTCACGAGACCGAGGAGTTCTACGACTGGTCGTCAGTGGGCTGAAGAAGGGCACTGAGAAACAACTTCGAGGACAATGGCAACGTTCAGCGAAGCTTCTCAACAATGAGATTCAGATCTGCAACGTCAAGCACAAGCCCCGGCCACCAGGAGCTGCAGATCTATGGGAACTCTTTGCTGGAGAAGCCACATGTTCCCGGCTGGCCCACCAATACCAGCTCAATGCACTACAGCCCTTTGACCTGATCTACGGCCAAGATTTCATGGATGATCAGATCAAGAACAAGACCTTTCGAGCACTCAAGCGACATCAGCCCCACCTACTGATGGTCGAGTTGGAGTGCACCCGCTACAATCTCTTCAACAAGAATATGAATTACGCCTATCGCTTGGACGAATGGCAGATGCGTCAACAAGAGCACCAGCCGCTCTTGGACCTTGGAGTGGACGCAGCATTGATCCAGTACCAAGCAGGCAGATTCTTTCTTCTCGAGAACCCCCTGAGGTCGGAGGTCTGGTCCAAGCCTAGGGTAGAAGAGCTTCGACGTCTACCAGGAGTTTGGGAAGTGGTTGTGGACTTGGGAGCATTTGGAGCAACCAACAATGATGGTGAACCAATCCAAAAGCCAGTCATGTTTGTTGGCAACATGCCCGGTTTGGACGTGGTGCTACATCAACGACTCTCTCAAGATGAAAAAGCCCTTTGCGTCCCAGTTCAAGGCAAACACACCAGAAACTCCCAGATATACCCAGAACGACTTTGCAGAACCATCCTGAAGGAGCTGCGGAACTATGTCCGACAGCAAGACCCAGACAGGTTTTGCACTTCTTCAACAGCACCCCATGTTGCACTACCAGTTCAGCAGCCAACTGCCGACCTCAGCCAATGGGATGAAGTTGTGACGGCAGTGGACACGGCCTTTCAGAACACTTCCAAGAGGCCATACTACATCATGCCCGACAGCCCTCAAGGCAAGATGATCCAGGATTTGCTGCGACTGAATGCTACGCGCATCCAGGTAGTGTCAACACCAACAACCAGAAGATTGCCTGTCCAGTTCTTTGACTATGTGGTCAGAGCCACCTTCATCCTCTACAATGATGACTCTCGTGCGGTGGAGGTGGAGAAGTTGGACGAGATGCAGTTTCCTCGACAGCGCTTCACCAAACCTGTCAGGATTGGCATCTTCGTTTATGGTCATCCTCGACCTGAGCCTGGACTTGAGCAACATGAAGAACAACCTCAACATGTACCTGCAATTATGCCAGGTCTTCCAACCGACATCGACTTCCCTGGCGTCTCAGCTGGCATCACTCAGGAGGTGAGATCAGCAGTTGCCAGATTACATCTCAACATGGGACATCCGTCCAAAGAGGAGTTGTGTCGAATGATGGCACAGCAAGGGAGCATTCCAGATGCAGCATTTGAATGCGCCCGCAAACTGCGATGCGCAACATGTGAACGCCTACGACCACCACAAGCACCAAGACCATCTACAACCACCAAGCCTTTCATGGGCCAGTTTGGCGATGAGATACAGATGGATGTTGTTTACTGCCGAACTCTCAACAGCACAACCATCATGATCCTTGGTGCGGTGGATCGAGCAACAGGTTTTCATCAAGCTGCACTACTGCCAGATCGGAATGCCTCCACAACCTTTGAGACGTTTGAACAAATGTGGCTGAAGCCATATGGACTCCCCTTGCGAGTCACGTGCGATCCCGACACATCATTCAAGGGTGACTTCCAACTTCGTTTACAAGCACTTGGAGTCAGTGTGGAACATTGTCCACCCGAAGCCCACTATGTGATTGGAGCTGTGGAACGTCGGAACGCAGTGTTCCGTTTGATTCTTGAGAAGCTCGTCGACCAGTTTGGAGCTCAGGAAGTGGACCAATGCCCCACTTTGATCATGGCAGCCTGCCATGCCTTGAACTCAGGGATCCGCACTCATGGCCGATCAGCATACCAAGCAGTTTTTGGTCGTGAACCACGTTTGCCAGATTCAGTTTTCAATGATCCAATGACTTTATCATCCTCAACGCCCATTGCCCAGATGGAAAACTATGACCCTACCTTCAAGGCCGAGGTCATTAGAGCAGAGGCACTCAAAACTCTCCATGACCTGGACACCAGCCAGCACCTGAGGAGAGCTCTCTTGCGAAAGACGAGAGCAACTAGGGTGGCCGATTTGCTCCCTGGGCAGAAGTGTGCGTTCTGGAGGTGGCAAAGACGTGGACCCAAGAAGAGAGGTTCATGGATCATTGGACGGTTCCTTTCTTGGGATCCCTCCTACGTTGGCAAACAAGCATGGATCCGAACAGGTTCTACAACAACTTTGGTGACCGCCGAGCAACTCAGAGCAGCCTTTGGCTTTGAGCAGTGGTCACCCGATGAACAAGATGTTCAAGCCCTTAAAGACGCATCGAGTAGCTTCAACAAGCAGATCATGGATGAACGTGGACCACAACCCACAGAACAAGAGCTTCATCCACTACCAGAAGATCAAGAACTTCAAGCTCTCGATGACCCTTACCCAATGACACCAGCTATGATGGTTCCAGCGACCCCTGAACCACAAGCTGGACAACCTCCACAACAACCTGAAGAGCTACCACCGCCACAGCGACAGCCTCAGATACCTTCACTACAACAATCAACCAACATTCAACAGTTTGATCAACAAACACTACAGCAATCAATACACATACACAGCCCAACACAAATACAACATGTTGAGCAGCACTACAGGTTCGGAGCAGTTTCACAACCACGAACACCTGCGAGAGCACGCTCCAGGACACCCTCTCAAAGAGGACGTGCCATGTCCGAGCAGCCACAGCAGAATGTACAGGCACCTTTACAGGATCAACATGATCCAGCACAACGGAGCCAACATGGCTCAGCACAGCAGTCTCTTGAACAACAAGAGCAACACGGTGCTGCCCAGCAGCAACCAAGCACACCGGCGGCATCAACAGGAACACAAGCACAGTCTCACACCGGCATTTTGCCACCTGTCCCTACCGTGGACGCAGACACACAGGCATCAGCATCATCACAGCAGCAGCAGCATGGTATCCCCTTCCATGACGATACCAGCCTTGGCATTCAGCAACCATTCATCGACCCCACAGAGGTGATTGCGATTGCCGATGACGATGAGCCACAGCCACCACCAACAAAGCAGCCAAGAACACAACATACCTTGATGGTCAAGTTATCCAACGTGGTGATGTACGTCGACTGCGATGGCAACATCAAACGTCTCCGACGACCACAGGATCCAACAACTTGGCAATGCTTTGGCTCAAAGTCAAATACATGCTACAAGGCCTACCTTACGACAGAACAGAGAAAAGAGGACGTGAAAACTTTGGGAAAGGATCCACAAGATCCTGATACATCAGACGACTCAGACGAGTCAGAAGCTGAAGTCCCAAAGACCACTACCAGCAGAACACCATCCTCTTCAATGACCGCACCACTTTACAAACAGGGACTGACCAGACAAGAGCTCAAAGCGATGGACCGAGAGATTCCTTGGCGCTCCATCTTGTCTATGCCAGAGCCCTATGTGGAAAAGTTCATTGAGGCAGTCAACAAAGAAGCGGCATCATGGTCAGAATGGCAGTCAGTTGAGCCTCTTAGTGACCAACAAGCTCAAAAGATCTACGAGACGATGACAAGGAGATGAGAAAACGCATCATCCCAGCTCGTGCGTGTTATCGCGACAAGTCTTGCGGAGTTGGAGAGCTACGAGCGAAGTGTCGCATCGTTGCCTTGGGCCACCTTGACCCAGACCTTGCAGAGATCAATAGGCCCTCAGGAACTCCAGGAAGAGTCAGCGAGCACATGATCTTCGTCATGATGACTGCAGGCTTCAACCGTGAGCTTTTTGGCACCAAGCACGGTTGGAAAGCATGGTCCGCAGATGCTGCAACAGCTTTCCTCCAAGGAAAACAAGCGCGACGGCTACCAATTTTCCTCAAGCCACCCAATGATGGATTGATCCAGCTCACCAACCACTGGAAAGCCAAGCTGTACCGCGTCAGAGGTAACATTTATGGACTCGCTGACGCACCAGCGACATGGTCGAAAGAAGTGATTGGACGATTGACTGGAGCTCAATACCGACAGCACAGTTTTGATCAACAGGTCTTTTACAAGGTCGTCAATGCAGAGATTGTTTCAATCATCCTGGTCTACGTTGACGACTTCATTGGCCTTTTTAGATCTGACTATGACCTTGGCGAGATTCATGCACTGTTCCGCTGGGGAGCTGTCACATACTTTGAGGAGAACAAGCCAGTGACCTTCAAAGGCAAGGAGTTAACAATGATCAAAAGGGATGGAGGGTTCCAATTGAAAATCACCATGACCAGTTTCATAGATAGCTTAGATGTAGGGGTTATCAAAAAGGGTCGTTTGCAACAAAACCCTGCTTTGACACTGGACGAGCAGAAAGAGCTGAGAAGCGTCTCTGGATGCTTGCAATGGGTCTCTACGCAGTGCCGACCCGAAGTCTCTGCGATCGTGAGCCTCACTGGACATGGAGCTGAAGCCACCATCACTGATCTGCGCAACCTCTATGCCATCATCAAATACTTGAAGCAGACACCTGATGACGGACTTATCCTGCCAGACATTCCATTTGATGAGAACACCGTAGTTTTAGCCTATAGTGATTCATCATGGGCAAACGCCCGCAAGTCCGGTAGTCAGATTGGAGTCATCATTTGTTTAACCACGGAAAGTGCAGCGCACATTCCGGCTCCAGCTTCCATAGTAGATTGGCGTTCATGTAGGTCACCGCGAGTTTGCAGGTCAACACTAGCTGCAGAAGCAACGGCAGCCAACGAAGCAGCTGACAGAGCTGCATGTGTTAGCATGTTTGCTAGTGAGTTTGTTTTTCAAGAAGCGGCTCATCGTGTAGGAGCCAGACTTGCAATTGTAGCTGCTGTAGATGCAAAGAGCCTTTACGATGCCTTGCTTTCTCCTGCCCCAAATTTGAACGACAAGCGCACTTTGGTGAGTGTACGGGCAGTGCCGGAAACTTTGGCAAGCAACGATGTCAAGTGGGTTCCAACAAGATTCCAGTTTAGCGATGGACTTACCAAGGTCGATCCCAATCTCACGCTGTTGTTTCGACAGTGGCTTCAACAGCCTGTGGCAATCTTGAAGGAATCACCAGAGAGCATCATTTGGGAACAAAAGGTCAAAGAAAACATTACCCGTGAAAGTCAAGGGGTGAATCATGCTGTGACCCGTGCAACCATTGACCTTTTGCCTTCCTCACAAACTTAAGAATGCATCCCAGATCGTAAGGTAAGACTTAGTGCTTGTAGGCAGGTTTGCCCTTCAAGTGACTTTCAGAAGATGCCTACCTCTTCATCAGTGCCAGAAATGCCTAGCCAGTGATTTGAAAATTCCAGAACGTTGTGCTGAAATTTTCAACATCGGTCCAGGCTAATTTCTGAAATTTGGTAGACCAATTTGTTTCTTGTCCAGAACGTTGTGCAAACAAATGTGGTTTTATTCTTTTTTTACAACAGCTAATTTAAAAAAAGACAAAATATTTTCAAAACAGATATAAACGCCTCTAAAATGCGCATGGTAAAGCACGTTGATTGAACGTTTACCTGCTCACGATGCCACCCAACTGTCATGTTGCGATTACGTTGGCCAGTTCTCAGTGTGCAGCTGAAGTCATATTCCGTGTCAATTGTATGAGCCAACTGCCATGAGAGAAACTGGGGCATGGATTTGACCTGTTTAGCATGGAAATTAGTGACTTGCATGAACAACGTATGGTTCACATGTCCATCTTTCCATTTTTAATGCAACCTCAACCAAAATGCATCGAACTCACACCTTCAACTTCGAGTCCATGCCTTAACTTCGAAACTGCCTCAGGGACCATTGTCAAGTTTTGTCCTTGTCATGATGTTGGATTTGTTACTGTCATGTGAGACTGTCATTGTTGTCACTTTATTCAAGGGTGATCTTTTGCACTTGTGTCTTAAAACAATATGAGGAGCTGTGGATGTCGGAACACAGTGTTCCGTTGATTACAAGAAGCTCTCTGGAGATTTGCGCTCAGGAAGTGGACCTGACCCCACTTTGGCATGGCAGCCTGCCATGCTTGAACTCAGGGATCCCACTCAGGCCGATGTTGCAACCAAGCAGTTAAGGTCGTGAACCACGTTTGCCAGATTCAGTTTTCAATGATCCAATGACTTTACATACTAACGCCGGACATAGCCTGGAAAAATATACTTACTTAAGGCCGAGGCATTGGACAGAGGCACTCAAAACTCTCCATGACCTGGACACCAGCCAGCACCTGAGGAGAGCTCTCTTGCGAAAGACGAGAGCAACTAGGGTGGCCGATTTGCTCCCTGGGCAGAAGTGTGCGTTCTGGAGGTGGCAAAGACGTGGACCCAAGAAGAGAGGTTCATGGATCATTGGACGGTTCCTTTCTTGGGATCCCTCCTACGTTGGCAAACAAGCATGGATCCGAACAGGTTCTACAACAACTTTGGTGACCGCCGAGCAACTCAGAGCAGCCTTTGGCTTTGAGCAGTGGTCACCCGATGAACAAGATGTTCAAGCCCTTAAAGACGCATCGAGTAGCTTCAACAAGCAGATCATGGACGAACGTGGACCACAACCCACAGAACAAGAGCTTCATCCACTACCAGAAGATCAAGAACTTCAAGCTCTCGATGACCCTTACCCAATGACACCAGCTATGATGGTTCCAGCGACCCCTGAACCACAAGCTGGACAACCTCCACAACAACCTGAAGAGCTACCACCGCCACAGCGACAGCCTCAGATACCTTCACTACAACAATCAACCAACATTCAACAGTTTGATCAACAAACACTACAGCAATCAATACACATACACAGCCCAACACAAATACAACATGTTGAGCAGCACTACAGGTTCGGAGCAGTTTCACAACCACGAACACCTGCGAGAGCACGCTCCAGGACACCCTCTCAAAGAGGACGTGCCATGTCCGAGCAGCCACAGCAGAATGTACAGGCACCTTTACAGGATCAACATGATCCAGCACAACGGAGCCAACATGGCTCAGCACAGCAGTCTCTTGAACAACAAGAGCAACACGGTGCTGCCCAGCAGCAACCAAGCACACCGGCGGCATCAACAGGAACACAAGCACAGTCTCACACCGGCATTTTGCCACCTGTCCCTACCGTGGACGCAGACACACAGGCATCAGCATCATCACAGCAGCAGCAGCATGGTATCCCCTTCCATGACGATACCAGCCTTGGCATTCAGCAACCATTCATCGACCCCACAGAGGTGATTGCGATTGCCGATGACGATGAGCCACAGCCACCACCAACAAAGCAGCCAAGAACACAACATACCTTGATGGTCAAGTTATCCAACGTGGTGATGTACGTCGACTGCGATGGCAACATCAAACGTCTCCGACGACCACAGGATCCAACAACTTGGCAATGCTTTGGCTCAAAGTCAAATACATGCTACAAGGCCTACCTTACGACAGAACAGAGAAAAGAGGACGTGAAAACTTTGGGAAAGGATCCACAAGATCCTGATACATCAGACGACTCAGACGAGTCAGAAGCTGAAGTCCCAAAGACCACTACCAGCAGAACACCATCCTCTTCAATGACCGCACCACTTTACAAACAGGGACTGACCAGACAAGAGCTCAAAGCGATGGACCGAGAGATTCCTTGGCGCTCCATCTTGTCTATGCCAGAGCCCTATGTGGAAAAGTTCATTGAGGCAGTCAACAAAGAAGCGGCATCATGGTCAGAATGGCAGTCAGTTGAGCCTCTTAGTGACCAACAAGCTCAAAAGATCTACGAGACGATGACAAGGAGATGAGAAAACGCATCATCCCAGCTCGTGCGTGTTATCGCGACAAGTCTTGCGGAGTTGGAGAGCTACGAGCGAAGTGTCGCATCGTTGCCTTGGGCCACCTTGACCCAGACCTTGCAGAATCAATAGGCCCTCAGGAACTCCAGGAAGAGTCAGCGATTTCATGATTTCGTCATGATGACTGCAGGCTTCAACCGTGAGCTTTTTGGCACCAAGCACGGTTGGATAAGCATTGTCCGCAGATGCTGCAACAGCTTTCCTCCAAGGAAAACAAGCGCGACGGCTACCAATTTTCCTCAAGCCACCCAATGATGGATTATCCAGCTCACCAACCACTGGAAAGCCAAGCTGTACCGCGTCAGAGGTAACATTTATGGACCTGACGCACCAGCGACATGGTCGAAAGAAGTGATTGGACGATTGACTTAGCTCAATACCGACAGCACAGTTTTGATCAACAGGTCTTTTACAAGGTCGTCAATCAGAGATTGTTTCAATCATCCTGGTATACGTATACGACTTCATTTTTTTTAGATCTGACTATGACCTTGGCGAGATTCATGCAATGTTCCGCTGGGGAGCTGTCACATACTTTGAGGAGAACAAGCCAGTGACCTTCAAAGGCCAAGGAGTTAACAATGATCAAAAGGGATTAACTTCCAATTGAAAATCACCATGACCAGTTTCATAGATAGCTTAGATGTAGGGGTTATCAAAAAGGGTCGTTTGCAACAAAACCCTGCTTTGACACTAATTAGTTAGTGCCTTTTTCAAAGGATAGGTATGTGTGCACGTCCACACATATTGACTTTTCAATTTCCAGGTCCACAACCGTATGCATGTATACACTCAAGTGTAAACAGGTATGCCAGTAGATATTCAACAATGTTCACGGTTAGATACTGTTGTAAAAGCACGCTTTTATTATATAAAAAACGTTTCATATCTATGTTCTGCTTGTATATTTCATTTCCTGCGTACACATGGTAGCGTTAAAAAAACGTTTTTGTTTACACATGTATTTCTGCTTGCGTACATAAGACATATGTGTAGATATTTTTTGGTGCTGGCCAGTGTTGGCAATGTGACTATATGCTGGCGCAGCGATCAAACATCAAACTTTATACATTACCCAACGAATGAAAAATGTTATTCCCTTGCTAAATATCCATGTTTTTCTACTTTTGAAGTTGCTGACTTGTTCGTGTTCACATGTTAGGTGGCAGCCTCATGACAATTGACCCAAGTGACAAAGGCTATTCACAACCCAACAATGACAACACCATATTTCATGTCAGTTCAAGCTTTGAACAAAAACCAATGAAAACACACAAACGCAATACCAAATTTCATTTCAAAGGTTCATTTTTTGGTTTTTGGGTTCAAAGTTGTTCAATGTCACGTTTTCAAACCTGTGAAACACGTTGATGTTATCACATGCTAGCACGAGTCACTTTTGGCTCAAAATAGCTCAAAAAGTACTTTTTGAGATGCCCAAAAATCCCTACAAATTAATCTCCCCACAAGCTGGTCGCCATTCCGAAGTTTGTGACTTCCCATTGCAACCATGGGCTCGAGGGCCCTTGAACCATATTTCCTTTGTGACACGCGCCGCCGACTGTGTGAAAATGGCAGCGTGTGCCTGCATTTGAGCCTTTGTGAGAGTTTTGTATCGTGTGTGCGGCAAACACCCACCTTGCAGGTTAGCTTATGTTATCGATGTTCATGAACAGAAATGAAATCACAGCTTTGGGAATTGAATGGAACATTCTGCAGTTTTTCACGTTTTCCCTGCCGCGTGAGGTGACATTCAACAGTGCTGTTGCTATCAGCCAGTGGTGGTTGGGACTTCAGCTGTTGAGCACTTGCAAGGCGGGTGCCTTGGAGCTGGATGTGATTGGAAGCTCGGCACAGCGACAAGTCACAGGCCTTTTCCAATCTTTTCCACCTACCATGCGCTCACATGCGCTCACATGCGCTCACATGCGCTCACATGCGCTCACATGCGCTCACATCAGGGTGAAAAATGGTGAAAGAAGGGTGGAATGCGGCTGCGGTGTCCACCGGCAGTGACGATCTAATTTTGGTTCCATCATCAGATTGGGGTAAGGTCCTCGCTTTGGAACGCGCCTGGTCATCATGATCATCATCACCATCAACCACACATATATGACATCATCATCATCATCATCATCATCATGATCATGATGATCATGATCTCATGATCATGATCATGATCTTCTTCGTCCTCTTTGTCATCATCATAACCATCATGGTTATCATGATCATGATCATCATGATCGCCATCACTATCAACAACCACATACATATCACATCATCATCATCATCATCATCATCATCATGAACTACCGGGAAGGTGGGGGGAGTTCAGGCTTTTGCTGTCCTGCCTCTTGTGAACCCCGCAAATGGACCCTAAATGGCTGGTGTGAGCATAAGGATGCCCGATGCAACAGAAGAGGAAGAACCAGTAAGACTGGAATGAGTCGTTCTAACCTTTGAAAGTAACTGAAATGATGATGTAAGTAGAATGTTACCCCCCCAAAATAAACCCTAAATAGAGCCCTTAGCGGGAAAGAAAGCTGAAACATATTCCGCCCCCAAAAAACCCTAAATGGCCGCTTTGGAACGCGCGAGCCTTCCAAAGTGCTGTGCCTGTCAGTAAACTTGATGTTTTGTTTGTTGGCTGTGGTCTGAAGTGACGTAGCATTTTGTGTTCTAAAGCTATCCGATCCAAAAATGGTTGTGTTCCAAAGTGATGCTTTTCACTGTGTTCCAATGTGATCCTTTTACCCACTCGCAGAGCCAAGGATGCAATTCCATCATCAGTAAAATGGCACAATCCGATTCGGACTTGTGGAAACAGTTTGCGCCTCAGACTGTCAGATCCTGTCCTTGACAAGGCAAAGGGGTATTGAACGCTTAGCGCTTTAGCAAATTGATGCAAGATGATACAAGATGATAGCAACTGTTTGAACTCGTTGTCCGCATAGTCCAACCGGAGTCCAACCAGTATTTTTTTGCATTTTTTTTTCTTTTTGTGTTTTGTTCTTGCCACTCTCCTCCTTTCCACATGGCTTGCACGTTCTGGAACTAAGCAGACATCAGGAGTGCGGCGATGTTGTCTTCAACAAGGCTCATGAGGCCAAAGCTGTTGGCGCTGCTCTTTGCATAGAGGTGAGGAATGAAAAAACCTGGTGAGAGCCACTGCCAGTTGGAGAACGCATCCTCCTTACAACTTAGCTTCTTGGATTCTTTCTGGAGGCAGGTTCAGCAAGACTCTACAAGCTCGCCATGAATTGAGTCTAGTGGTGAAGAACTTGTGCGCAGATTGGAGCCGAACTTGTTGAGCATCAACTCCTATGCAGCTTCCTTGGAAACCAATTGGGCAGCAGCTGTGCAGCTGGAGGAAGAGGCACCACATGGCACCACATATTTACCCTGGCTGAACTGTCTGAAGTGCCTCAAGTTTGAACGCAAAACATCCCGCTCTGAACTTCCGCACATCCGTGTGCAAGAGCCGGAGCTAGCAAAGGTAGGTGGTGGTTGAGCAATGTTTGGATAATTTTGGATACCTTTAAACTTTAGAAAAACTTGGCACCGCGTGTTCCGCTCGCCTCACCACGCACTACAGCGGAGGCAAAAGGCAGCACTGTGCCTGATATGATCACCTCATTGGCAGTTCTACATGGCCTGCGAGCAGCGGGGAGCAACTTGGCCATGCTCCAGGAAAGCAAGTGAAGACATGCGCATGTTGTGTTTGCCGCTTTGTGTCCTCCATCTCCTGATTTTCCATTTTTCCACTGGCGTAACTGGAGCCCAAGCATCCCTCTTGCATGCTTTACAAATATGATTCTTGAATCAGGCATGACAACACGAAAGATGGGAAGTTCCTGCCAGTACCAGTAGCATCAGTGGTCGCCGTGAATACAGCACGTTTGTATCATTTCTACATATTGATCTCACACACACACACATATATATATACATATTGATCTCACACACACACATATATATACACATAATTACACACACACACATATATATATATATATACATAATATACATAACACGTATACAAAACTATATAGATCATATATGTATACATTTCGTTGTTGCAACTGCAGCCTTGGCATCTCCATTGCCCATCCTGACAAGGATGGCAGCGATCGGTGTTGGTGCTTGGAAACATGTACAGGGATTTGATACAAGTTGGCCGAGCCTTGGGTGCAACTCATTTTGTTGTTTTTTTCATATTTTTTCATATTGATTTTAGGCACGATTCTTTCCGTGTCATGATGCCGGTACCAGCCGCGTTTGGTATATTTTTTGCATCTTTTTGTTCATCGCTTTACTCTTATTCTGTGTTGATGGGGCATGATGGCATGTTGTTGCCAGTAGCTTGAATCTCGCTTCGTGTGCTGGCAGCAGGCCCAACACTGATGCGTCCAGGTATATATACGCATATCACGAAAGCTATCTTCTGCTAGCTGAAGTCCCTCTTGCTTTAGCAAGGTATTGGGGGGAGGGCTGGAATCTCCAATCGCATGAAACTAACCCCGCCCCCCACGGCTGGCTGACCGTAGGCATGTCGCAACCGGCAGCAAATTCGGCAGCATCCGCATTCTCAGCATCTAGCTTTCGTCCCTTACCCTTGGGCCTCAAGTATACGTATATTAATATTATATATATATATTATATGTACATACACCTGAATCTGTTGTCCATTGGTTCGTGGAAACACTGCAGTTCAAACTTGTTCGCTCATGGCATCTCATGGCTCACAATAGTGTATCGCAGAGTATGCTTTGTCGCCTGCTTAATCCTTCCTTTCGGATCGGGTACAGTACTGGTGTGAAAGGTGCACTTTGGAGATCTGCAAGCAGGCAATGGGAAAGATGGTGGAGCATTCAAAATTGTGAGAAGATTTCCGGGTCCTTCTTTTCTCCCAGTGAAAATTCATCGAGCACGCAAGCGGTGCACGTTTTGAATGTCGACACGGCAGCCTCTTGCAGCCACTCGAGTGCTGGCACGTGTCCGAAAGTGGCCGCAAGGGGCCGCGACAGTATCCATGACACTGGCAGTCGCTGTGTGCTATGGACTAGGTCAGTGCAAAGGCAAAACTGACGTACATACACATCATCGCATCATATCATACGCTCTTGCCACGAAAGGGGTACTTTATTCACTGCTGAGAGACACGGAAACTTGATCATTGATTCTTTGCACAGTGGCAGATTGTGTTCTTTCCATGCTTTTCCTACGTGTCGGTCTCTTATGTTGTCATTGCGTCAGATAGTCAAACAATGCCAACCTCATCCTCGTTTCTCATAGGTGCATTCTTTTGTACCATGCAGTTAAAGACACACCCTCCTCATTCCGCAGTCTGGCATCCCTCTTATTCCTTTTCCAAGGAAATCTGTGCAACTGCGCCGTTGATGCTTGCCAAAGCTGCTTGGCTGTCAACTTGGATCGAATTGGGCCGCTGTCCAGCACATGGGCATTCTTGTTTTGAGATGTTTTGAGGATGGCCAGGTTGCACCACAAAGGAAACTAGGTCTAGAGTCTAGGCTGAGACATCAAGAAATAATGGACATTTCAGTTCTGCCAAGCCGTGCCAAGCCCACAAGCTTGACTTCAACAGGAAGCCCTTTTCGGATCGCAAGCTTTTGGGGTGTAAGCCGGGGTAAGTTTCACTCTGCAAAGCCGTCTGCGGCCCATGTTGCCCTTTGGTGAGGTGCCAATGCTTGGCTGAAGGCAATTCTCTTGGGTGAGCAGCCGTTGGATGTGATGGCTTCTTGGTGCATGGGTGGCTGAGCTATGCTGAGCAATGCTGAGCTATTATTCTTAGTGCCATGGGCAGCCTGGGCAGCGTCCCGGAATGCAATACTGGCTACGCATAGTAGCTTGCCACAGTGCCGTTTTATCATTTTTTATTTGGGTGTCCCATCTGAATTGAACAGCGTCACTATGGTTGGTCATGGTTGGTCTCTGCGAACTCGTTCAGTTTCCTTTGCAGCTACGATGCATCGCATGAGGCTGGTCATGGTCGGTGGGAGCAGATCTTTGCTTCCTTTGATTCAGCTACACGCTGTAGAGACTTGGATATATAGATATGACAGATGGATTATGAATGATTATGATGAATTAATCAACTTGGGCAGGTTGCCGTCATTGGCAGTGGGCTTGCGAGCAACCAGCCAAAGACCCATAAAGACATATAAAGGCCACAAACGAAATATGACTGCTTGCTCTTTGGCATCTCTTTGGCAAGCCTTTCATGTGCAATGACGCTCAATGTCACAGCAAGGCAGATGTGCCATGTGATGTCCATGTTATGACCAGTTCCTTCAGCTCCGCCCCACACGGTACATGTGAGGCCTTCAGGTAGACCACGTGGTTGCAAACAAAGCCGCCAATCAGTGTGTGAGACAGGGAAGTTGGATGGAGCAAATTGGACTTATGGTAGCCTGGTTGCCTTGACATGCCTTGACGGGCCATGGGCACAAAGTGGGGTCCGTTGGTGGAAGGCCCCCTGCTCCTTTTGAAAAGCATTTTGCTTCACAGAAATTTCGACCCAAGCTGAGGCATGGCTGCAGCAACGTCACTTGCTTCCTGATATAGTTGGCCACACCGTTTCTGTCGCAGCGTGCACGCTTGCGCATCAGTGGCGCCATGCAAGCAGGCTGACTTCAGTCAGGCGGGTAGAGTTTAAGCGTCAGCCCTCCAAGCCTAAATCGACCCCCCATCTGGACTAGGCATTGCCTAAATAAGAAAGCCACAATGCACCAGTCAGAGGACAGGATATCATCTTTGCAGGACCTGCCACCATCGATTATTACTCATGACTTGAAATAGGGACATCGTAGAGCATTCTGCATCATCAAAAGATGAAAGGTGAGATCCAAATTTGATAGACACATACATACATATACAATCCAGATCAACCCAGTATATACTTCGTGAATGTCAGTGAATGTAAGTGATATCAACGAATATTAAATGCATCTGAATTGCGTTCAGAATGCATCTGAATGGATCTGAATGCATCCAAGAATGGGAATATGAATGAATAGGAGTGATATGAGTCATATGAGTGCATGTGGGTGCGATATTTTGCTGGTCTGTGGCAGGGACCTTAGGGCCTTGGCCTGTGCCAGCTCTGCCTGCGAGAAGGTGGAGCCATGCCATGCCGGTCTCAAATCCTTGGATCAAAATCCAAAATCCATGGGAGAATCAGAACTAATCAGAATTCTTGAAGATTTGAAGGTATACATTTTCAACAATTGATTGGTATACCCCATTTTCAGACATACTCATTTTATCTCATTTTGATCTTTCACATGTCACGTTGAAATCTGTTGAACCGGAGAACAGTTGCCCATGTCTCCATTTGAAATTGCTCACTGTTTGGGTGCCTGCAAGTTTGAGTGCCCAAACCATGGGGCTGCGGACGCCATGGACCACTCTACAATTTCAATTAGCGAGGGAGATGAGTTGGCAGTAGTTCGGAGATCGACGTTGGACAGTCTCCGCAGCAGCTTAGACTCTGGGGAGGACAATGTGGACAACATCAAGTACCCCCGAGAAACAGGCAGTATCTCGGTTTCGGAGCATTCAACTTCAACGTGGAAGAGTGAACGAGAAAAGGTGGAGGAGTTCACCATTCAACGCAACCTTGAGAAGCTTCGAGTGTTTTATCAGGTGCTACAGGTGGCCATGCTTTGTCTGATCACGGGTGTTCTGCTGACAGGCTTGACCGAGATTTTGTGGCGCCTCATTCCAGCAGGCTGGCTATCTGAAAGCATCATTAGTGGCATTGCAGCCCTGGCCTGGTTTCTCACATCGATGACCATTGTCGTTGTCTCACTTTGTCCCCAAGAGGAATTGGACATTGAAGCCTTTGTGGCCTCACGGCCGGGTCTCACGGCCAGGTTTGCTCTGTTGCCAGGAATCACTGGAGGAATGAGAGCCTTGGAATTTCCCTTCCCACGATGGATCTCCATTGTTGTGGCAATAGCTTGGCTGTTGCAGGGCTGTGTGGGCTGTTCCTGCTGCATTCGCTGCAACTGTGGCAGAAAAGCACGCCGCTACTTTCGGATGCTATCGCGTCTAGGTTGATTTTATATGATTTTACTATATATATATTTTCTTTATTAATTACTCCCAATCATGGTACAAAGCACCACGCGGTGCTTTTACTTGAGCACACTGCGCTTGTTTTGGCGTTTTGAAACCCAAGACTCCAAAACTATCCAGGCATACAGAAAGACAGAAAGAATATAGTCTTGGCATGTCTTGGCCAATCCGAGGTTCGTAGACTTGATGCAGCTCTGGTACCTGGATGTGATTCTTTCAAGTGCCATCAATGAAGCTGCGATGGAAGAGCCTGGGATTTGGACCTCTGTCTGGCTGTTGGTCCATGCTGCTTTCGCTATCATTATAGTTCTATGGCTTCGGTGGAGGAGCAATCTTCGGAAGACGGAAACCTTTCACCTGGCAAGCTACTTGGCCCTGAGCTGGAACAGTAGCTACTTCGCATGCCGTGCCATCGACCTGACTCTGGGGCACAAGGAGTGGGAAGAAGGGCGGCAGGAGGACATTGCCATCATGGCGGCAATGGGCTTTGCTTCCCTGAGGCTCAGCAACGAATTATGTCAACTAACAAAGAGTAACAAACAGCAACAAACAGCAACATTTTCAACGCAACCCCTTTCCGACCTTTCGAGATCTTCAATGACTAAAACTGAGTGGTTCTGCGAAGTTCCTTTGTCAATACCTTTGGAGACAGTAGAAGCGCCCTGGCAAGTCTCGACACACCCACCAACTTGAAACTCAAGCCTTCCAGACAGGCACGAAAGAATACGACGGAAAAGAGATGAAAAGACTGCAAGAAACATGTTTGGCTGGAGCTGACACTCGCATACCTTGGTAGGCTAGAGTCTCTAGAGACACTGGAGACTGTACATTTAGCATCCTCAAGGTCCAAACGCCCGCCTTCTTGGCTTTTCCATGCCTCCTCTAGCGCAGATTTGTGGGAAAGCTCCATTCGAAGTGAGTAGAAGGGGTTGTGCGGGTGGCTGCAAGGAGCGTTTGGAGCTTGCAAATAGGTAGTAATTTGGGCGGAAGCAAGTGCCCAGTTTTGAGCGTTATGCACCGCAAAGCAACTGGCTGACAGTGTCCCCCCTGGGCCACGGGCTGAGGGGGTGGTCTTAGTAGTGTAGGTGGGCATGGAGGGGGAGGATCAGATGTGATTCACGGAGACGATGAGATTCTTATTGCTTGCTCGTTCTGGTGGGGTGTTTTGATAGTTTCGTTTTGGTGGGGAAATTGTTGTTCTTGCAAGAGTTTCGCAAAAGTCGGACTTCTCGAATTGTGTCCTGCTCTGTTCTTTTTTCTTTGCTCAGCACCTGTGCGACAGAACTGCCAAAAACAAGCAGTTGTGGATGACAGGTTGCACGAGAAAAGCTGTCCATCACAGAGATTAGCTTCATCATTGTGTTGTAGGAACGAAAGACCATTTGAGATGCAGATCTTGCAAGAGATGCGGTGGCGTGTGCAGTTAGATTCGTTAGATAACAGGGAAGTTTTGGGCCAGTGTGGTGAAATGATTGTGCAAAAAAGTCATGTGGAGACTGTGCAGGTATGAATTCTTGGTGTCAAGTTGTCCATATGATCCATATGTGTCCTCCTTTCCCAATTTTATCCCGATCTGACTTTTTTCAAGTTTTTTCAAGTTTTTTCTAAGGATCCTCTTCCCGATGCTCTTTACCATCTTGGTGGGACAGAGGCGATTGTTCCACAAGTTGGCCACCTGGCTGGAGCATTCACGGAGCCGCCGGCTGCAAGATGGAGCCTTCATGGCGATGCTGCTGGACTCCTATGTGGTGGAAGTTGGTCAACCTTGGTGGCCGACTGAAAAGGAAGTGGCAGCATGTCAGGGAAACCTCAAGGTCAAAGCCGCACCCAAGGACACGGATGCAGTTTTTAAGTCACGTTTTTCTTAAATAGATGCTTTCGTTATGTTATAAAATGAATATAACATGTTACGTATAAATAAAGAACTAAATGAATGAATAAATATATATATATATAAATAAATATACAAATATATAGATATATATAAATATACAAACATATAGATAGATATATATATATACAAAAATAAATATCACCAGTGTGTGTGTGTGTGCAATGTATTTCTGTCATTTGAATGTAATAATACTATTGCAGTATCAAAACCCTAAAAAAATCAGACCCACTGAAACCCTTTTGCTCTCACCATCCAGTTTCGTCAAGCCTCCAACTTTTGATTCAATTTGACTAGTTGTGAGTCCATGCACAGGAAGATTTGCTTCGGGCATCTTACTCCTCTATAAGCGTGGACATATCCCATCAACACGAGCCACGCCCCGGCTTTGTGGCGGGCGTAGTCATTGCTGCAGCTGACGATGCCTTGAGTTTTACGGTAGAATGCCAGGTGGATGCACAGACTGTGCAGATTGTCGAGGTTGGGTCAGGGGGGGAACGGGTCACTGTGGTTCATGGTCGTTCATGGTGCGGTTTAACTTCGTGGAAGCCACGTGAGACGAAAAGAAACGGGTCAGTTGTGGCACTTGTGCTTATGGATCGCACAGTGAACCACGTTGGACCAAGAGTCACCGTCGCCAGGTCGAGCGTGGCCAAGAAGTCTTGGCATGGCCTGAACTGCTGAAGATGGGCCGAAAAAACCTGCGATGTGTCGATTGGGCCGCGCTGAGTCCGGAGGTTTTGCGCCAAAATTCCCCCAGTTTTTCTGATTTCAGGCTATCCCGACCTGCGAACCGTGGCGAAGTTATTGATTTTTTCGTCTCGCACTCTTGGTCTGACAGTCCAGCTCAGAAGTGGAGAGCTATGCAGCTGGTGGTTGAGCAGTTCTATCAGAAGAATGGCCGATATCCAACATTCTGGATTGATAAATTTTGCATTGACCAGAATGAAATCGCAGACGGCTTGCGAGTTCTGCCAGTGAATGTCATGTCATGTCGGAAGATGCTATGTCTCAGTGGAAAGACCTATCACAACCGGCTTTGGTGTGCCTGGGAGCTGTGTGTTTTGCTGTCTGCTCTCATTTGCTTCGTAGTCCATTTTCCTGGTCCTTGTGTTTTTTCCCGTTTGTGGAACTGGTATGAACTGGTTGGAAGATGTCGAGAGTGAGCCCAAACATTTGCCTTCGTTTGCTCTCAAAGCTGAACTGTGTGAGGTCCTTCATGTCAATGGAGATGGCCCTGAAGCAGATAGTTGTTATCGCGCTGTCTCAATCCGCGTTGATGGAACTCACCAGTTTTGACCCTTGGCAACTGCAGTCTCGAGCCACCAGATATCAAACAAGGTGGTGAGTATACCTGATAGTGACTGGAGGCCAAGTAGTGGTTGTGTTTCATCCGCAGGTCAAAGGTAGTATAGTAGTATAGGCAAGTTGATCTGATTTTGTCAAATGGATACTTTCACGTGCTCCTGTGAAAACTGAGTTTGGTTGTTATATATATATAATATAATATAATATAATGTAATATAATATATATATATAATTTATATAATATATATTGTGATTGGAATGCAGGTAGAACCAGTTTGCTGTCACAGTCTTGTACAGCACCCTTTTGATCAGCTCCGCCCGCCGCGCCGACCTGGCTCAAGACGCCACACGCCGCTGAGAAAAGAGAGCTGCTCGCAGCCATATTTGACGGTTGAGGGCATCATTTAGATCAACAAGAACAACAAGGTCACTGTCAAGGACGAGGTGGTTCACAGGTTATCAGCCGTACGCTCATCACTGGGCGTACGGTGGTCCCACAACTTTATCCTCAACCCCTTCGGCATCCTGGTCCTCCTGCCCTACTACAAGACGTGAACTTGGGGAAAACGGAGGTGGACTGACATAAGAAGATGTCGCAGAAGAACCAGTCGAGCAGCAACGACACAAGCTTTTCCTTCGGAGCAAATGCTGCTCCGGCACAGGCGATCAATGACACGCCTGGATCTCAGGAGAGCGGTGGCGGCGGCACGATGTCCTACCGTGCTGCTGGAAGTATAGCATCAACAAGCAGCTTCACAGTGGTCAACCAAGCTGACGTAGTTCATGGAGGAAGTGCCAGAAGAGCAACATCGGCAAGATCACCTCGCGCTGCAAGATCTCGCATTGCAGAAGACGGCGGTGGCCGAAGCCCGTCGGGCGCGGCCACGCGGGAGGATGAGGCAGGTAAATCTACCACCTCATCCAAACGCAAACCATCGACCAGCGCTACGAGGAATGAGAGCGAGGCACGTCTTCGACGTCAACTACAACATAATACCGAGAAGCTGGAGAGGAGCGAACGGGCAAGGACTGAACTGGAAAACAGACTAAGTCTTTATCAGGATGTTCTTGCACACCGTGATCAGATGATTAACAATATGGAGATCTATTCAAATCAACATCATGAAGAATATCAACAACATGTCAACTCCGAGATGGAATTCATGAGAGTATCCCTCATCGATGCACATCATGTACTTGAAGAGCAAACGATCGCACTGGCTGAGGCGCATCTCTTAGACGAAGGTTCAACGATGAGAATCATCGAGCTGGAGAAGCGTGGTCATCTTGCTGAAGCAGGTGCGGCACACATTGTTCGGGAAAGTATGGAGATGAGGGGAAAGTATCTCACTGAACTAGAGAATGCTTCACAACTCATTCGTCAACAACATGACACATCTGAAGCTATGGCAATGCATTTTCGTCGAGATGGGCTACAACTGCGTGAAGCACGTACACAGTATGTCCAAGACAGGGGGAATGTGAGCAAGGAAGAAATGGAACAATTGAAACTGAAACTATCTGAACAATCACTTGTGATGGCTGACAACAATGAGATGATCATGGAATATGGCCAACAAGCTGTTGCAGTACGTGATAAACAGTTGGTAGAGATGCAATCAACTATTGATGAACTGACTGCTAGTTTATCGCACAAGGACAACCTCATTGCTATCAGGAATGATGCGAACCGTGATCACATCTTGAAGGTTCGTGACATGAAGAACATGATTCAGGAGAGAGAGGAAGAGTACAACCGGAAGCACAACGAGCTCGAGGTGGAGATCAGAAGCCTCATGAAAATCAATGAGAACGAGAGTGCTACCCGGGAATGGTTTTCGAATCGACTCACTGACGAGAGGAACGAGTTCCGCCAGTTCAAACATGACGAACTCAGTGCATTCAAGGACAGGGAGATCACCATCGAGCGCATGGATGAGAACATGGCTTTGATTGAGTCCACCAACCAGTTGAGAACGCGAGTTGCTGAACTTCTTGGATCTCGATTTCATGCTGGTGGCGATGAAGACAATGCCAAGGTGAATGAAGAATTGCGTGGAGAACTTCACAAGGCCAACATGGAGATTAGCCGACTTCAAAAAGCAGTTGAAAGCAACCCGAAACTCACTGAGGCACTCATCGACGCCGAAGAAGCGGAGGCAGACAGGTACAAGAAGCTCTATCAGTCGGCATGCTCTGAACGTGACCATGTGATCAGAAAGAATGACTCACTGAAACAATCACTTCATGACGCGAGACTGACAATGAGCACAGTGCCTGCATCATGGAGCAGAGTATCGACTAGAGCCACAGTACCAGCTGCACCATCAGCTGTGCCTCCTACGACCCTAGTTCCGAGGACGACTGCACTTACTGGCAAAACTCCATCATTTGCGGTATCGATTTCAACACCTATGGGTACGCCCAAGGCATCCTCTACGACAAAGAATCATGATCCTGCTCTACCTCCACCACCATCACCTAGCATGAGCAATGCCATCAAGAACCAGACCAACAGTGAGATCGATGACCTTCGTGAGAAGCTTCGTCGGTCTGAAGAACAAGCTCAACAGAACTATGACGAGATGAAAGAATACCAGAGTTGGTTGGAACAAGCTGAAGAAGGGCAAGAATCTTTGAAAGACAACAAAACCCCTGAATTTGAGCCCGTTCCTGACAATCCTCCTGGACTTTGGGAACGGAAGGATGGCAAAGATGCTAGTGTTGCGAACAGTGATGCTGGTCAAGATGGCAAAGATTGGGTAACCAGGATTTCCAGGAAGGAGCACGAGAAGGTCACTGTTAAACCATGGCCAAAATGCCAAGATCTTGATGTTTGGCGTTCTAACGTCGTGCAAGCCGTATGTGTTGCATCAGGTGATCCAGACACGGCTGCATGGAGAAGATGGCTGTCTCCTGCTCTATTGCCAAGTCCTGACTATGCCGAACTTGCCGATTCAGGAGAATTCCGTTTCCAGTCCATCGACTCCAAGTTGTCCATTGCCTTGCAGAACATGGTAGACTCCGCTGGCGAGACGGCATCGGAGGTCAAGGTTCGGATTAGACAGAGGAGTCAAGTTCTGGGAAAAGAAGGAAATTTCCTGATGGGCAGGGAGATATTGGCAATGGTATTAGATCATTTCAGAACGACATCGAAAGATGAAGTATTGTTCAATGCCAGCCACATTTACAAGTTGCAGTATCGTGGTGACAAAGAGATGGACAAGTTCCTCCATGCTTGGATTGAGATCATCGCCAACATGAAAGCTGAGGACATTCCATCTGACAACACACTGCGTGATCATCTGCTGAGGAAGATCGATGGTTCCCAGGCATTGCACGTTGACCTCACTATCTTCAAGGGTAGGGACAATGATGACAAGAAGAAATCATATGGTGAACTCTTGGAGATAATGAGGAGGCACATAGCACGTGCACGCGAAGACCGCAATATCGCGGCCAGGGACAAGTTCGCCACGGACTACACCAATCTTGGTAAGCCTTCTGCCCCAGCTCCGAAGCCGACGGCTCCGGCTCCTACGCCAAAAGATGGGAAGGGTGGAAAACCGAGTGCTCCAGCACCCAAGGGCAAACCTGGAGCTCCTGTTCTACCTTCCGGCAATCCTAAGAGCCATGGCAAGGGGAAAGGCAAGGGTGGCAAACGATCGAGGTCACCTTCCACACGAGATACTTCAAAGACCTTTTGTCACTTCCACTTCAACAAGGGCAATTGCAAGCATGGTGACAAATGCCAATATAGTCACTCCCAATATCATTGGGACAAGAGGAAGGACAAAGGTGGCAAAGGCAAGAACAGCAGATCGGCTACTCCAAGAAGATCACAGACCCCTGGTGGAAAGAAGGATCGACATTGCTATGGTTGGTTAAAGGGCGATTGTCAGAAAGGTGACAAATGTACCTTCAAATATGACCCAAGCATGAAAGGCAAGAGAGCGGCGCCTTCTACAAAGACGCCCGACGCCAAAGCTACTCCGGCTTTAGTCCGTGAGTACGATGACGATTTCATCGTGAACGCAGTGCCTATCGAGAAGAAGAACAAGATGGATGTCAAGTTCAATGACAAGGTGGAAACCATCGTGTATGTGAAGCCTGATTTTGTGGAGTGTTCCAACAGGAAACCAAAGAGAAACATGTCCAGAGCTCAGAAGAAGTCATTGGCGTGCAGAACTACCAAAGACATCATGGATGACCAACAATGGGTATTACAATCCAAGTTGGGAACGACAAGAGCACGTGCAATTGGAATATTGATGGACGACTATGGTGAGTTTTCCGATGTTGATGAAGTACACATCATCCTGGGACCCAAGAATGATATCAAGCTCAAGATCAACAACGTTGATTTCTTGGAGTACAACTCACGAGCAGAGATATGCTACGAGGAAGTGATTCCTCATGTTCCAGGACAATATGGTCGTCGTGACAATGTCATGTGCATCACTATGCCGATCGAGCTCAAGGACCGACGTTTCATCATGGACTCTGGCAGTGGTCACGATCTTATCTCATCTATGAGGGTGGATAGGATGGACATTGACACCTACCAGAGTGATCGAGTTAACTTCCACACTGCAAATGGCATCACATCAACAACCACGATGGTGGATCTGGACTTCGACACATTCAATGATCCTGCAAGGGCTCATGTGTTGGAAGATACTCCATCTGTTTTGTCATTGGGAAAACGATGCATGGAGCAAGGCTACACTTTCGTATGGCCTAGCGGTAGAGAACCCTACATGATCAACTCCGAGGGTGGCAAGATCAAGATGGAAGTTCATGATCTCATCCCATATGTCTACCTTGGAGCCAAGGACTACCGGCCATCGTCAGACTACGAGGCCGAGTTAGTGATGAAAGTGTTGGGTCTCAACGGCAACAACCATGCATCAAGGATAATCTATCTTGATGGTGAAAGCGGTGATGAAATGTCCGAATCAGATGATGGAGTTGGTACGTACGTCGACG